ACTTTACTGTACTGTACTGTACTGTACTGTACTGCACTTTACTGCACTGTACTGTACTGTACTGTACTGCACTTTACTGCACTGTACTGTACTGTACTGTACTGTACTGTACTGTACTGTACTGTACTGTACTGTACTGTACTGTACTGTACTGTACTGTACTGTACTGTACTGTACTGCACTGCATTGTACTGTACTGTACTGCATTGTACTGTACTGTTCTGTACTGTACTGTTCTGTACTGTACTGTACTGTACTGTACTGTACTGTACTGCACTGTACTGTACTGTACTGTACTGTACTGTACTGTACTGTACTGTACTGTACTGTACTGTACTGTACTGTACTGTACTGTACTGTACTGTACTGTACTGTACTGTACTGTACTGTACTGTACTGTACTGTACTGTACTGTACTGTACTGTACTGTACTGTACTGTACTGTACTGTACTGTACTGTACTGTACTGTACTGTACTGTACTGTACTGTACTGTACTGTACTGTACTGTACTGTACTGTACTGTACTGTACTGTACTGTACTGTACTGTACTGTACTGTACTGTACTGCTCTGAATATGTCTCAATTATGCTTAGATGGTATTGAAAAATATTTTTCAGCAGGTTACTGTAGAATTATCAGCTAATAATCTAAATTAATTTTCTCTAGATTTTTCCTACTGTACTTTGCGTTACTTTGAAAAATACATTTCCTAGGCTAGCTTATGATAAGATCCTAAAGTAAGGAAAAATTTCATATACTTACAGCCTAACCTGTCTTATGGCTCCATATTTACCAAATATGTCGTAAAGCTCTTCAGTTGTGATCTTATATGGCAGGTTTCTACAGAAGGATTACCAAAGAAAACTTTTATTCATCAATTTGAAAAACCTCTTGTGGAAAATCATTTGAAAATACATTTAACAACCCCACAATAGAAGCAAATAACAATGACAGACTGTCACAACCCCACAATAGAAGCAAATAACAATGACAGACTGTCCTACCACGAGAATGAACAATCACAAGAAAATAATACAAAATAATCGGAAAATAATCTTATTGCAATTGTGCTGACTATTCCTAGAAATGTTTTCAATTCTGACAACAAAATGTATCTCACAAAGTATTCACACCTTACTTTCACAAATATGATTATTACAGAGTAAATTTTTATAAACGGCTGTCAAAAACTTTAAAAAGGTTCATGGGTTTGGCTTGTCTGTTTCACTGATAATGCAAAATAGATTCAGCGTGAAATGACAATGACTCAAAATATCTACATACCTGACATACAAAATTCTGTTGACTTCTGGGGGGAGCCTCACCTATAGGTATCAAACAAATGTATTGAATTGGTGTTTTGCATGATCAAATACTAAATGCAATTTCAAAAATAACATTTAGATCTAGAAATTTTCAAAAAAGAAAATTTTCATTTTTCTAAAGCATACATTTCTCTTTCTCTTAGCTACCAAATAAATTAATTGTTGGCTTTTGCATATCGGCCATGCAAAATTACTAGGTAACAACATTGAACAAAATGAACACTACAAAATTGTTTTCTGAAGTGCCTGTAGTTTTCTGAGTCTTAATTTTTTCAAAATGCTTTATCTACATACCGTAAAAGCTCTATTAAGCCCCTGGGGGGCTTGTTTTTTTTCAGTCCTAGAGGGGGGCTTAAAAGAGAGGGGGGCTAATAAGAGAGAGGGGGCTTATTAAAAACTTGAAGTGAAAAATATTATAAAAATATCCTTGCATATATATAATTTTTTATAAAAATGTCTTACAAATGTTCTCAGAAAACTTCGCTGGCAGCTTAGAAAGTCTAATAAATCAATTATAAGGTCCTCATCTTCATCAAACTCGCTAGTATCAATTGATCACCCTGGGACATCTTCTAAACAAATTTTGACTGACTTTTTAGGCCGACAAGTAAGTCTTTACATTGGCCATATTTAATTCACATGAATTTATTATCACCACACCTGTTAAGAGACCCAGTAAAAGCGCATGTTTTCCATGTTTGATAACAAAGGCTTAAGAGGAGGGAGGCTTAAAAGAGAAAGGGGGCTTAAAAGAGAGTGGGGGCTTATTTTAAGGTTTGGCTTGATAAGGAGAGGCTTAATAGAGAGGGGGCTTAATAGAGAGAGGGGGCTTAATAGAGCTTTTACGGTAGCCATTTGATTGTTTTATCTGACACTCTTCAAAGTATTAAACCTCAGTATCTAGATAAAAAATTCTAAGCTAGGAAATAATAATACCTAGTTGCTGATGAAAATAAGCCTTTCAGAAATGCGACCACATGACTGTTGGGGTTGCCCATTGCTATTGCTTGCCTATTGAAAAATTACCAGTAGAGTCCTAAGGTGACAAGAAATTCCTTCTGTCTACAAAATAGTGTTTTTCAGTTTTAAATAGATGGGTTCTAAAACTGGTAGACCAGACAGCAAGCGGGTTCTGCCAATTATATAAAATATGCTGCTATTATAGCTTTTGGTACATTCTGAGTTTTCTAATAAATGTTGTCCAATGGCGGAATCACACATTTTGGTTGATGTTTTGTATCTGCAGGACTGAGGAGGCTGTGCTCCCTAGAGGAAAGTTTTGTTGCATTCAGTTCCCCATTCTAGAACATACAACTGAAAGATTTTGATCCACAACCCGGTATATATACTTCCTAGCTTAGAATCTTTAATCAGTGTCTAATCAGAAAAGCTTCATGTTTCAAAATGTTTGCTTTTTTGAAATGCAATCTATGTCCATACGCCTGAAAATGTCAGATGTGTGGTGACAAGAATACTGTAGCTTACTGCCATAAGCATGAAAAAATGAAATTAATCGTTGAAGCCAAAATTCCAAGTCATGGAAATGTTATCTAAACAAAACTGAAGGATGATTTTGGAGAAAAATGAGATTTTGACAATTTTCAGGGTGCCAAGAAAGTATATGAAATAATTTCAAATTCTTGTGAAGTATTAAGTAAAAATGTAGCAGACATTGATATACTGATCAGATTTGAATGATATTTTCATTTGCTTTTAAAAAAATTATATGGAAAATCAGAAAGGTTTTTTTAGTACTTATATCTAAGTCAAAGAATTACTGATATTACTTGGAACTTTTATTTTTGCATGAAAATAAGAAAAACCAGTAATAGGATTATCTTTCATGGGAACATTTTAAACTAATCATCTAGAAAAATTCAACACAGTTATTACAGGAACATTGTAGGGTTGTTTGAATGTGAATTGTCAGCGTGAACTCTCTTAATCCTCAGTCAGGCCTTTACGATTCAATAGAATTTACAAGCAACTCAAGTGCATCTACCTCTTAAGTTATAGTGCAAGTTCTAGACTGGCCACAGCTGTAAGGCTATTTTGTTTTCACGGAACTCAAGTCAGGTAATTGGAGTGCATTTAAGGTTGTTGGAATCCGAATTTCAAAAATTTCGAATTTTTCATTTCTCGATAATTTTGTGATCAAAACGTCATATCGCCTAAGAATATTTTTATTATAAGAATATTAAGGTATTCATTTAACTAAACAATCTAAAAGGATAAAATTCTTAATTTGCAAAATAAATTTTTGTTTTGAAGACGCTTCTGCAAAATTCATCAACAGCATTCCGTTTTGGATCTGACTACTGTTTACAAACTTGGTTCGCATTTCCAAACGCCAGCACATATAATTATTTGAATTTTTTTCGATATATTTAAAGAACAATCAATCTATAACAATATCATGGTGTCCCATTGGTTAAATCTTCCTAAGCTACTGAAATATTCAACTTTCAACTTTAACACATTATTGCTATATCAAAATTCTCAAGAATCACTTCCACACCGAAACAGGACAAACAACAAGGAATAAACTGTTTATTTCTATTTGATATTTTCAAATAACTGCCTTTGGAGAGAAGCACGAGCAGCTTTTTTGCTGGCCACCACTCCAACTTCATCTCAAAAGTTGGTGCTCTATCGTAGAGGAAGAGGGGTTACGCAGCGGCCTGAAGCAAAGCTTCGTTGGGACCCAATGTGCATGGTTTCATACAAAAAATGCCTCAAAAACTCGAAATTAATTTCAATAATTACTTTTTAGAAGTAAATCTTGAAAAAACAAACTTATTTCTCCGATGAAATAACAAATTTTGATATTAGAGGTCAATAAATGTTCCGCGGAATACCTTGACCAAAATTCCCGTTTTGAAATTCTAACTTCAAAAATTTGTCTAATTGTTGATTTGCTCGAATAAACCAAATTGCAGACATGAAATGGTAGATAATTTAATAAAGAATCTGAAACATTTGAACATTTTGCGATATCTAAACTAAATCAAAAGTTATAGACCGTAACACGAATAGTGGTCGGAAAATTAGCTAAGCCTCACTTGAGTTCCGCGGTGCAACAGCTGTGTGGCACTATCATTAGATAAATTAATAATTCTGATTTTAGTCTGTTTATTGTGTTAAACAAACTACCTAAGCATGAAGTTTGTAAGTAATTATTACTTATGTTTGAATTAATAATGAATTGAAAACAAACTTCAAATGTGTTTTGTATTGAGAAACTCAAATTGGTTAGGCGAAATTTGAATTGTTAGGCCACAATTTTTGCGAGTGATATAATCATTCGAAGTTACTATCTTTCTGTAGGCAGATCTTATGGTTCCAATGCCTGCCATAAACGAGGAACAAACCAAAGATCATAGTTACTTTATTTACTCATTAGTTTGAATTTCAACGGCAGAAAAGATAGATTATGATACTCACGTTCGTTCTCCGTTGCATCGCCATCTTGACAGTCAATGGTTTTGGAAAGGAGGTCCGCTGAACGACGTCATGGTGCTCCTTCTCAGAGACAGGTGTGCAAACATAGAAACCAATGAATGCTCTCTTAGCAACGCTTTCAAAAAGGGCAGCCAACTACAGAAGTTCAACCCACACCTAAATGTTAGCCTTTATAATAAATATCTAGCGATGAGGTCCGAGACATTATCTGGGACAATAAAGAGCCCAAGGCCAAATAGCAGTGTTTCAAGTTACAATTCCGGCAGGTATGAGCCCTACCTATTTTCAACGTTTTTTTGATGGCGTAGTTTCCAGAAGTAGCCTGGTGATTGTTTACTTAAAAGAGCTCGTCGACATTCGGAAGTCTTCTTTCAAATATTTCCCGTCAAGTATGCACGATTTAGTTAACTGGATGTAAATAAAATAATAACCATCTTCTAATCAACATGATACGTTTTTTTGGCTAGTACCTCTTCCCTTTATTATTTTTTTAAAAAAAGATTCACTAACAAGACTGTCTTGTGCATGCAAGTCGCTGTTTATTTTCGTCTTCACTTCAACTGGGCAAACCTCCATTTCCGCTCTATATTCCGCACTTAGCATGCTGGATTCAATGTCTTGGGAACAAAGAGACATTTGGCATACCCCCCTAAAATTCTTCAGGATTTCACTTTAAGATCCACTAGGACAAGGCAAGCGACAAGTCGGAGTTAAAATCAATTATTTCTAATTGCATCCAAGACCCTAGAAATATTGGCAACTGGTAACCAAATATTGTGCTAACTTTGTCCTTAGAGTTTCAATTTTTATTTATATAGATATGTAAAAAGACATCAAGTTGACAATTAAAGCACTTAGCATTGAAAAAGTTCTAACAAAAGATTGCTCCATGTAGATGCCACTTTATACACTGAAAATGCAATTGATAAACCCTTTTTACACTACAACTTTTAACCTGACCCTAGGTTAATTTAACCTGGCTTAGAAATTTTGCAGTATAAACGCAGCCAGCCTAAGTTGAACCAAGATTGTACCAGTTTAGGATATTTGAAATGCAGTGTAAATGCAAACCTATGTAGAAATGCAGCGTAAACACTAGAAGACGACTTGATGTGGCACCAACACATCAAGTCAGCTTCAAAGCAAATTTATCTAGGACTGTCTCAGAAAGACAGGTATTTCAATATGAATTAAAATATTTTGACAATGAGTGAAGCAAAGGTTAAAAAAGGGACACCTGGGTGACAACAAAGTCATTGCATTAATTGAAATATAGGTGGACAAAGGGGAAAATGCCTGCCTTGAGAAATTCACTCCCAATCACAACTTTTCATCATTGTCCTCTGCCATTTTCAAAGAAGGCGATGTGTGTTCGACCAAGGTTTAGGTTAACCCAGGTTAGGTTGAATGTTGTAAACATTGCTACAGAGTCGTGTGAAACCTTTGGTTCATCATGACAATGCCATAATGCATTTGGAACATAAAATCTCATTGAGCTGTTATTCCTGTATCAATCAATCTTGTCAGTAAAAAGCCTACAGACATAGTTTAGTTGAATACTTCAGAATGCTGCTGTTGAGCCAATAGAAAGTCTGAAAATAACTGCTCACTTTACTCACCTTTTCCCAAATTAAATCCTTCAGTACTTATTTGAAGCTTTTGAAATTGTCAAAAACTCAAAAACAGATTTTTAACTGCAAGTCAACACTCTGTTTGATCACCATTTTTTCAAACAGTCACCATTTCACTTATTTTACATTACCTGTTACACAATTCTTAAGGTTGATTTTAAAGATTTTAAACATAACCTTGGCAATTGATGACCAAATCCTTCTGTTTTTAGGGAAGCTCTTATGGAGGAAATTAAGCTAAATCGTCCTTTATGCCATATATCTATAGTTCTAATGCGGTTATTAACAGAAAGCCCTGTACCTTACACCAGATCAATTTAATTCAAAATTGCATCAAAGTGACCAGGGGAGGTTGAATTTCTGCAACATATGGAAAACAGTTTCTTAAAGTTGGCTCAATAAGCATTGAAAAGTAGTTTTATAAGGGATGGATCACAACACAAACTGCATGATGTGGCTAGAGCTAAAGACAGATAATAAAAGTGTGCTGTAATGATTTTCTCAGTTGAGAATGGGAAGTGACAGGAAAAATGTCCAACTCTGAATTGCCAGTAAACTTTACAGAGTAAAGGTTCTTTTTATTCAGTTCTAGCCCTCCCCACTTTTTTTAGATTTTCCCCACTTTTCTCAACACTCCACAATGCTTGAGCTTGCATTATATTTCACTCAGGAAAACTAGAGCTTATTAAGATAATGATAAAAAGAGAAAAAGCAAGCTAACAGAGATTATATAGAAGCAAAACTCAGCAAAAAATGCAAGATAGATTCAACAAACATAAAATTTAAATTGCAATAGTTATTCAGCTGTCTTCAATTAACTGGATTGCCACAGGTTAACAAAAAACACAAATCATGCCCCCCTGTTTTTGATGGGCAAGAATGGGTTCCAGCCCCCCCCCGTTTTTGAATAAATCACTTTTAAATAAAATAGAAAAGAGAAAACGAGAAGAGATATTGCAAAAAAAAATATTGCAATAAATCCCTATATTTAAAAAAATAAGTCTAAGTCTAGGGGGTTTCATAAAATAATTCCATTTTAAGAATTAATCAAACGTAACAAAAGCATGCCAAAAAAGTAAAACGTTTTAAGTGACTGCAAGTCTACGAATGTAAGAAATATTCTGCAATTTATTTCAAGCTAATCCAAAGGGCGTGAACGCAAAAGTTTTCTGGTCGCTTCGCTCGCATGAGGCCTCTTCTTTTGGGTTTACCCACAGCCTTCGACAGCCACTCGACGGCCTTTCCAATGTATCGCTAGCATAACGAGTGCCCAAAAATCATAAATATCGTGAGGCATATTAGTGCGTTTTTTCTTAAGTTGGTTTTTAGTCAAATAAAGTTATCAACTCGACCCCCCCCCCACTTTGCATTTCTTGGCGCCGCCCCTGAATGATGAAAAAATCACACGATATCTGAATATGAAATAATTTTACATTTATTTGTGAGCCTTCAAAATCTTGCTCTGTGCACTTCAAAAGAATAGAGAAGGAAGTAGCGCTTCATTTATGATAATCAAGCAGTGTTACAAAAAGTGTAAAAATTCAGGCACACCTTTGTCCATCTTTATGATGGGCAGATGATGTTTTCCAATGACTACCTTGTACTTGATCCTTCTGCAAAGATAGCTAGCAAACTAAACAACATAATACAACAAAACATCCCCTTTGAGAGAACAGCTCCGTCAGTCCGTCTTACAGATCTAAAACATCAACCTAAACGTGGGATTCTTCCATTGGACAACATTTACTTCAAAATCAACAATGTGCTAAAATTATAATAACAACATGTTTCGGATAATTGGCAAAGCCGGGTTGCAGTCCCATCTACCAGTTTGAGAATCTTTCTACATGAAAATGGAAAACCGTTGTTTTGTAGACAGAAGAAGTTCGTTTTCGACCTTGAGCTGGCTTGGTAATATTTTAAATAGGCAAGTGGCACTGGTTTGAAAACCTTTACAGTCGTGCTCGCTTGTCTGATAGCAGTGCCGTCGAAACGATATCCATTTGGGGGCTGCCCATCGTATATATTGTTATAAACCCATTTGTGGGCTGCCCAATCTTTACACTATTATAAAGAAAATATAGTATAATGTGACAATTACTGCTTCAAACGGCGTTGGATAGGCCTATTTCGATCAACAACTGGATACAACTGGATATATGCATCTCCTAGCTCAGAGTTTTAGATTTATGTTCTGTACTCGGACGAGTGTCAGGCGTGAATTTTCAATATGTTGCAAAATGTTGTCGTGACCTGCAGATTTTTTTGCTTTCAAGCTTTCTTTGTTTGAAATAGAACGTAAAATCATGCTTGGAAGAACTAACTCTTCTTGCGATTGTCTCTTCGCCATACCTTCATACTTCAATAAAGGGTCAGTAACTGTTTCAACATGTGCAAAGTTACTACTTTTTCATTCTCAGGAACTCAAAACAGTCGCTTCTAAGGTCCTATGACCTCAAAACGTTTGAACGGCAAACACTGATGACGCCACAAGGCTTCAAAACAGTGAAGATATACGCAGCTTCTGATGATGGAAATAATTCCATGAAGAAAGTAAGTCTTTTAAAAAAGATTTTTATTCAAAAATTTCACTCCCTCTTTGAATTGGAGCTTTTGATAACATGTGCCAGTATTTTAAACCTGCAAACAAATCTATCTGTGAAACCATTTTCAATGTGGCCACATTGTGCAGTAGTACAATAAAAACCCCAGTTTATTTTTAAGCTTCTACTTGAAAGTTGGCTTTGAAAACAGTTATTTTCAAAAATATGACCCAAAATTCTCAAAATGCATGTTTCGATGCCGTTTTGTTGATAATGTCAATTTAGTAGATTTCATCGATTTTCTTTTCAATCAAGTACAGGCAGAGGCCAAGAACAGCTATCGGCATTATGAGTTCAAAAGACGAAGATAAGCTGAAAAAGACCAGCGAGAGGTATTATCTATAAATCTTAATATTTTTACCAGACCAGTGAATGGTATGCATGTGGCGAGACCATGCATGTCACGAGACTTGTGCAAGCCACACTGTTATATGTAGATCTAAGAATCCTTAAATTGTCAATTGCATCCTTTAATTTCCAGCCGAAATAATCAAATTAAAGAACCCTTTCCTGCGATCACTACAGTTGTTTTAAAAATCTTAAGAATCTTGTAAGCAACATTGACAATTTGCTCAGTTTTACAAAATCAATTACCTTTCCTTTATATCATTTACCTTCCCTCTTCATGCATAGAGTTCTTCAGCGAGCTTCAAGTGCCAACATTCTTCGTTCCCAAACAAACAACCATTCTCAACTGGATGAAATCCGCCCCAAAACTGGTAAAGTTTTCATTGAAGTTTCTTTGAATACCTCTTAACAAAATTATGCGTAAATATGCGCTAAAATCTATTTTAATTTCAATCGAATTGATGTATATGTCTGTGTAAGTGTATTCACAGGAAACGAGTATCTGCTTCAATAACATTTCCTTTATCTTCGGCTAATGCTTTATTACATTTAAAAATGCAAGTAAAAATGAGCCTCAAGTTTTCAAAAGGAAATGTTAGTAATGCATGGTAACGATTTTAATTCAAATTTTTTGCTATTAATTTCATTTCATTATAGCAATGTCAAGATCATCAAGCGCCAGTTCAAGTCAAAGCTCAAGTAGCAGGCAAGTGATTTACAACAATCGCCACTCCATGTGCACTCCACCTAACCTCTATTTACACGACGACCTTCGATTGACAGCACGAAGTCAACGGCCAATTTCGGCCCCAAGAGAATGCGATGAATGCAGTTCGGTCGAGCGTTACAACACTGTTCAAAGGAGACGACGCGCTAAATCAGCTGATGCCGTAGAACGATTTGGAACACGCGTCGAGTGCCCAAAATTTGTACGTGGAAATCCTTTTTTGACAAACGACGAGCTAGATGCTGGACAAAAACAGTACATATGGGGAATGGCTCGGGTTTACTCAGTGGACAAATTGAAGTCACTGCGACAGAGACATTACCAGTCAATTCTGAATTACGAATACATCAAAAGAGTGATGACGAAAGGAGTTGAAGAGAAAGACAGAGTGAAGCTTGGGAAAGAATATGCAGAGTACCAGAAGGTGATCAACAGGTTTGGCAAGGTAAAGATGGTTCCTATCTATCAAAGGTTGCGTAGCCTTTTTCCGTGACTTCTTTCATAACTTCTTTACAAATTGTTCCATTTCCTTGAAAATACTCTTTGAACATTTATTTCAGGACCCGGCTAGGCTGAAAAGTGTGCAGTTTCCCTCACGATACGCTGCTCCGCATTGCCATGCTAAAAAGCACCGCGTAACTGGGTGGACAACGGAATTTACTGACGTCAGTACACAAAGCACAGAAAGCGAAGAGAACATTGATGAAGATTCGTTTATCTATTCAGACGACGGGAGTGGAGCAACTGCGGATGAAAGCCAAGCAATGGGTGAAGAGAAACTTTATCCAGAAACGCATCGCGGGAAGGAAAGACCAAAGTCCTCCAAATACCGCATTAGGTTAGCAGTTCTTTGTAGTGTCGTAGCAGTTGAACAAAAGCTTAACCATTTTTAAGACTTGTTTTATGTTTGATTCAAATTTGTGGAACCCATTGTTGAAAAGTCGACAAGTCTTTTGCACTATTTCTTAATTGATTTGTTTAGAGACTTAGTCTTGTTTGAAGTTGCTTCAGCATTTTATCTCACTTCCATATTTTTATTTATTTCAAACAGAAAGCCCGCACCGTCACCAAATAATCAAAAAACCTCGATGGTAACAGAAAATATGCAAATTGAAGGTAGAGGCAATTCAATTTTTGACATTCTGCAAAATAAATGGAATGAATCTTCTTATTCTTTTTTTGTGTCTGAGCATAAATCGATGGACTACAGAATTCTAATAAACTGGGCAAATTTTTTTGTTACCTGCGCATTTCTTGGAACAGTAATGATATCTTGCTTGATAGATAGATATAAACACAATCTTGTTTCTTGGAACTCACTTTCTTTTGGGGCAGGTTATAAACATATGTAAGACGCCGTTAAGTCCAAATTGGTGAGAGTACCTCAGCATTACTTTGCTTTTCGGACGTGACTAATTCCCATGAGGCTTTTATTTCAATAGAGCATATCCAGCATCTTTATTTTGTGCCAGTTACTAGAATGTCCCGTTTCAAGCCTGTAAAGTCCCACAATTTAATCGGAAATTACTTCGGAACTATCTGTCCTTTTGTTGTTATTTTGAATTGCAGGCATCGAATCTTTCGCCAACTAATAAGCTCATCTCAACAACTCTACTTCCCATTTAGTTTCTATTACAGTTTATCTTGTTTTTATTCTAGAAACATTATCAAGAGAAGTAAATGACAAACTTATAATCAGCCATCAAGACGAAAATTTCATCTGAAGAACAGCGACAGATTGTTTTGCAGATCCAGAGAATATTATAGAAACCGTGAAGTCTAGTGAATCTTGAACAGATGCTCAAGGTATAAATAATTGCTAATTATATTCTTGTAGAATGTTATTTCAGAATTACCGAGTAGAATTATCTGACAGGCAGAATAACGGTAACATAGTACTGATTCGGAGTCGCTCTAGAAAAACCTTTTTCTATGTGCGAAAAGGTGATTACAAAGTGTCAGTTATGGCTAAAACTATTTTCGTAAAATTGATTGTGTAGATAGAAAATTTATTCAATGATTAAAGAATTATTCAACGATTAGTATTAGATATTGAATCGTGAAAGTTTGATCTTTGCCTTCTTCCTATGGCACAAAAGCTTTATATTTAACTCTGACTACAAACCAAGTCAAAGCAAAATTGGATGTGCAGAAATCAGACAAACAGATACAATTTTTTTTCTGTTTAAGGGACATTGTATTTCTAACTGGGAAAACATTACCTAAACTTTACACGCTTTAGTTAACAAATTCAACGGGAATTCCTAAGCAGAAGCTCCATATTTTGTTCTTTTGCGATCATTCCAATCTCTGTTAGAGTTATTGTCATTTTTTCGCTTGAAACCTTGATTGCCTTGATTCCCAAAGCGTGGTTTTGAGTGAAATGTCCCAGACCCCCTTGAGTTCCAGCTGTTACCGCCTCCATTTGCATACCCGTAGCTGTCCGGTTTTCGGTCTTCTAATTCTGGCAGGCTTGTTGGTATCTCTAGCGTGGCATAGTGGCGCTCTTTCCAGTTGTCCTAAATAAAAAAATCTCGAGAAATGAATAAATCTGCAAGATTTAATCAGTGCAATTATTATTGCTTTTTGACTAAAGTGAGGAAAAGACCTTGCATGGTTCCTTGTTCATCAAGATTCTAAGAGCTGCTAAGGGATTTTTGTCATTCAAGAAATAGATGGGCGAGAAGTGAACTTCATTTGAAATCTGAACTTCATATAAGGGCGGCAGGAAAAGTGATTTTTCTTATAGGAAGTCCCAAATAATTTGAAAAAAGACATGAGTTTCACAAGAATGAATAAAAATTCTTAAAAGAAAAAAACTTCACAATCCAGAATAAAAGCATTACGAACAGTTTCTGATAACTTTTTAAACTCAGTTTTGTATTAATTTGTCTCCTGCATGGTTTAAAAACATAACTTTATGCATATTTGAGAAAGCAGAATTTCCAAACCACAAATGCTAAACTATTTCTACAGGAAAGTCTATGAAAAAAAAACAATCTGATGGACACAAAGATTAGCGTTTCTGGGCGGAGACAAAACAAAACAAAAACTGGTCAAAAGTACAGATGCTTTGGCAGCATGAAAATTTCGTATTCGGAAACAGAGGCTGATGATGTCTACATGAAAATGCAATAAGACTAAACGCAATTGGTAATGTGATCAAGTAACGACTCATACTTGTCAAGTAACAGTACTCGTTATTTGCACAAAAAATTTCAAAACCAAAACTGATTAAATATTCAAATACAGACCATGTTTTATCCGCCTTTATCAAACAAAAACTAGTTTTGGAATTAAAGAAGTTACGATAGAGAGCAACAACAGCCTAACCGAGTTTAGTGGTTGCAGAATGAAGGTTTTTATATCTCCTGGCGGACTGGTTTGGCTTTTCTGGATACAAATAAAACCCACGTGTGTTATGAAGGTCAAAAAGATAATCCTTGGAAGGAGCGAAAGTTTAGAGCAGACATATTGAATGTATCTAAAGAATCATCGTCTTAAACAATGAAAAACTGAAGTTTCGAATTAACATTGAAAAGTAAAAATAGCTACGCATGAAAAGAGCCTAGTGAGATAAATTAGTGAAAAAATCTTTGAATTCTGAAACGAGGCCTTTGGCTTTCATACGGCAAAGAATGTTGAGGTATTCACTGTGAAGGAGCAGTCAAAACAACTTAAAAGATGGCGCAATCCTTGAATGAGATTGATGCGGAGCAATCCAGCAGGTCAAGGCGAAAGAAGAAAAACTTGTTAATGGAACAATCGATAACACAGTGAAATGCAATAAAAAGCACTGGTAACAAAGGGAGAACACCAAAGATAAAAAACAATGCACCAAATGTCAAACTTATGAAAATGTGTGCAAATATTGTCGGAAATTTAAACAAAATGAGAATTTGAGTGTCTAGAGTAAAGAATTGGCTGGAGCCTGTCAATCTGAAGCCAGTCACTGAGGAAGAGATGTTAACTGATCCATGAGAAGTCAAGCTGCCTAACAAAGTAACGAAAATTTTAAGCGAACTGGTCAACTCAATATAAAAAGGTACGGTTTAAATTACAGTGAATTCGAGTGAACAAATTTGCTTAGAAATATGAACAAAATATGAGCGGATGTGATCAAATTTATGAAGAAATATTCAAATTTGGTTAGAAAAGATTTGGAGGTTAGAATGAACTTTAAAGGATATTTCTATTAGTTCTCGGATCGATAGCTGATGCAGTTCGTCTAACCGACAAAAGATATACATCACCAGAATGCTATTTGGTGTATAGAACAGGACGGTTTTAAGTTGCTACTTCGAGTTTCACGCTTAATGTGATCGTCAGGCAACTCCTAATGAACAGTTGCCTGATGTTAGAACCGTCCAGTTCTATACACCAAAAAGCGTGTACTACACAAAACGTCTATACTGCATCGAGCCGTTTATGACAGACCGGTGAACAGTAGCTAATTTTTATTGCATCACCAAAACTAAACAATACAAATAACAAACGTTGTTCGACGGGATTCATAAATGCTTCATGTTGGTAACAATTACGGTTAGTTTTCTGCTGTAGGATGGAGGGCCCTCGTTTTTCTTTCGGGAAATCAGAACCAAACTTCAGCGTTAATTAACAAAACAAGCTTATACGATTGGCAACACAGCGTTTTGAAAACCACAAGGCAAAACTTCTTCTGTATTAAAAAATCTCGTGCACGTCAAAATCTGATGTTTAAGTGAAGCACCTGGACGAAGGACGCAAGACGAGCATTTTAGTGAATGACTAAAGAACCTCGACGAAAGACGCATGAGATGCCTGACAAGTCTATGAATTTATAACATAAATTATTATCAGTTTGTTATAGGCAGCCCAAGAACAAAGAGCAGAAACAGGTTTCTTGAAAAAAGGCATTTGATCCATTAAATATCTGGAGTGATAAAGCTGAAAGGCCGGATTCCACCCGCAGCAATAAAATACAGTTCTTATTGGGTCTAACTGGAAATGAAATTGTAAGCAACCAACGAAATTGAATCCCGCTCAACAGCCATTATTTGCTTGCAAGACAGAGAGCTAGCTGAAAATCATAAGCGGAGAAACTGGAGGGAAAATACGCACTGCAGAAGCATGAAAGGGAAAGACTGCATGACGATGTACCCTTGCAGTTCGTGTGTCAGCCACTCGCATCTGAAGGTATTGTCCACCTTCAACACGATAACCGGGATCATCAATATTTCCATTAACACTTTTCTCATTTATGGCTTATGGAAACTTGACCTTCTGAAAACAATATCTTACAAGTTTATATTTTATCTATGTATTTCAGACTGTTGCGTTGGATTATTCACGCAACCTAGCCTGACTATGTTGCTCCTCAGCAAGGGGGAAGAGAACCTCTGCCCCGTTGAATTAACAGCACAGTCACTGCAAACGGCCTTCTGTCAGTTCTCTGTGATCATGATTCTAATTATCACCATGGACAGATTCATGCACATGAACTATTTGACAAGGTACAACATATACATGACAAAAAAACGGGCCGGCATTCTGGTAGCAGTTAATGTACTGACTTGTGTAATGATTGTAGCGCTAAGCATTACGGCATCATTAAACAACTTTTATTTCACGGTGCACACAGCCACACTGGCCATCAATGCATCCATAATCATAGTTATCTTTGCTGTCTATTCAAAGACATACTTTGCCATTCGCAAACGCGTCGCAGGTATCCATTTTGCGAAAACTAACCCCCCTGTGATTGCTGCCGGTACATTTGTCGTCACCCAGGACCCAGATACATCCTTGAAGACCACGAAAAACGCAAGGAAACGGCAAAAACATCATCTTCACTTTGCAAAGGGGATGATTTTCGTTTTGATTACACTCGCGATTTGCTACTTGCCGTACTTTACCGTCGTAACACTGATATCGTGCTTGCGACATCAAAGTAAGGACTACGCAGACGACGGAGGCCCGAAAACACTGGTCCTTTTTTGGTCTCTTCAGCTTGTCTACGTAAACTCAGTGTTGAATGCTGGGATTGTTATCTTATCGAGCAGGCAGCTGCGCAGATTCACCCTAGATTTCATACAACGAAAGTGCACCCAAGGTTGCGTTGTCAACCGGATCGACGCACAAACGAAACATATGAGCAAGAGACGGCCGAAGTCGCATTCCTTTTAACTATATTTTTGTGATAGTGGTGGTATGATAGTGGTGGTTTAAAAGTTCGAAAACTGTCGTCCGAACCCAATGTCGGAACCAAGATCGCTTACGTTGTCCTTTGGCGATGAAGGTCATTTCTGTGTAGCACTACTTTCGCGGTATGCTTGTTGCAAAAATGCATTTATAAAAGAACAAGGATCTTAACTCAAGAACGACAGTTATTACATCATTTTAGCTGGTCATTTTAGGGCATTAAGTTTGCTCTGGCTGTATTCCCTGGGTCCAAATGTAAACTAATTGATTATTCTAGTCACTTTTAAGAGTTTCCTTTGACATATGTGCCGACACGCGAAATTTTCTCATAAAAAGGTACTCATCTTTTGCAGTATCTCTCAACGACTGTTTTCCGAAAGATAGTCCATGAAAAGCACTTTACAGTTTTAGCGATCACAATTTTGATCCGAGCCCACCTGCCTGGCATACATCATTAACTTTTATTATTAGAAAAGATATCTCGACGCTGCGATAAACCTAGTCCCAATCATGATATGCAGTAACTGTAGAGCAGATCATTTTCGGAAATAGCGTAAAATACTTTTCACTAAAACTTTGATTAAATAATAAACAAATTTCAGATACGCCTGGACGTTATCAAAATAACAGATGCATTATACTTGCGAGGACTGGAACCTAGCGAAATATCAGAGACGTCAAACGACGTTTTGAGAAAGAACAGTTTCTTGTTTGAAGACAGGGTCTCGTTGTGAAGCATAGAAATTGCAATGTCGCTCTGTAATCCTTGTGTTTATATATATACATAATAAAAGTTTGTGTATTAAGGGCACTTTTCTCTAGTGTCTGGATGTAAATTACACTTCAGAAAAGGCAGTTCTGCGAATCTAGCCAACAGCGATCATTGGAAATTGCTAAATGTTGCACACAAAAATCATTTTGGAATCGTGCTTCAATCTCTTTGATGAAAACGGATATTTGTATTGAAAAATTGATTTCCTTCAAACCAATAAAACTATTACCACTAACAATGGAAAATCTTAACTTGAAAGTTTCTACAAACCTTGAACGTATCTTTAAGCGCGTCTGGGACATCAAATACCGCGGCCTAAAATAGGAAGGAAAAAATTTAATGGATTACCGTCACAAATAAATTTTTTTTGTTCAAACCACACATCTAAGTGAAACTAAGGACAGATGGTGTAATGAATTCGTGATATGACAAGTGCAAAGCAAATCAGGGCTTGCGAAAAACCTCGAGCAATTAATGTTTAATGTGTCAAATGGCTCGTACCAGCTTGTCCTTGCACAATTTCATTCCACGAATTTGATCGACGTCTTTGCTGGAAAAATCGTCATTCAACATTTTCCAAATGAGGCCAGTGCCTCGCAGTTGCCAGTTCTGACGTATTAGGAAAGTAGTGTAGCCAGCTTGCGAAGAAAGCAAAGAGCGTGTTTTGATTTCCGTAGTCCCAGATAACAGTGCCAATGCCTTTGACAATACCTTGACGGCATCGTTCGTTTCGAGCAAATCCTTTGCCGTCGACTCAAACAGGCTTGCCATCTCCGTTGATACTGTCCCTAGTGATCTAGAACATAATGGCCACGATAAGGTAACACAGCACAATACACCACAGTACAATACACCACAACACAATAACATAAAGTACAATAAAAGGTAAAACAATACCATACAATGCAACACTATACAATACCATACAATACTAATTATTGGATAAATAAAAAGACTAAAATCAAATAAAACGGATTGAACAACTGAAACTAGTCAGACATTTTTCACGGTGGTCTCAGGCCCATTTACGAAAAACTAACACTTTAGGCTTTCGCTCTATATTGCTTCGTTATGAAAACAAATACAATTGAAAACGCATCAGAAATGAAACCTGCTTACAAAAAATACGAAAACACATATTTTGAAACCGCCATATTTTGAAACCGCCATATTTTGAAAACGCCATTTTGCCGCATTGAATTTGCATTCACATACAAACAGATGTGACCTCTTTTATTTAAATATATTTATACACAAATGAAACCTTCAGCAAATAAAAATCTAGGCAAATTAAAAATAAATCTATATAATTAAGAATCTAATTACAGTGATAACAAGCCTAACGATTAAAGATTATAAGGTCTACAAATCTTATCTACCTATTGCTGTTCTTGCAGGGAGTTGTGTTTAGCGTCAGCTCTTTAGATATGTTTTAAGTTGTTTTTTGAAACGATCTAGTGTCGGTGGTTCACGAATTTCAGCAGGTGTACCATTCCAAGATTTGAATATACAAACTTCAATTTTTTTGAATTAGCAAGCATTAGCATTGGCAGTATTCTTAAAGTCGCAGTTTGTATCACCAACAAGAATAATTTTATTTCCCTCCTCACCTAATTCCCCGAGAGCTTCTCTAAGGTTTTCAAATGCTGCATCATCAGCCCCGGATGTTGGGGGTCGATACCAGCAGACAAGGAAAAAAGCCCTTCCATTTTCTTGCTTAATCTCTGGGGACAGTAGCTCTAGCTTATTGCTATTCTGTTTGATTTTGGGCACAGGTAGGGTATCTTTAACGTAAATTGCTACCCCTTCTCCATTTACATTCCGGTCGTTACGAAATATCTTACTGACTTAACAGAAAAATGTCTACTTAACAGACGCTTTTCGAAAACGGATCCAAAAGCGAATGGATCAATGCAAATTCGAAATACCGTGAGTGTAGCGATAAACTAGCCATCGCATCAGAGATGAAATTGCTTATAACTTTCTGACTAGAGTAGAGGTATTTCTTTCTCACGCTTCAAGTGTTCAGTACTTCGGCTAACAAGCTTTCGTTACTAGCTGAACCTTTAAGGCGTTATCAGAATAAACAGAACTACAGTAATTATAATAATGACAGCTCACCTGGTAGCATCTTTGGCGGAGGCTTTTATGATATCTGAAGGCTGCGGGGCACCAATACGCATGAATTTTATTCCCTACAGACAAAATTTGTACAGACAGTCAGTAAAGCCCGGCCAAACTACGCTAAATTTCCTCCAATACCGTAAGGCGTCGACGGGGGCAAATTTAGCAAAACATATTTTGGGTTGGAGGCTTATTTGAGGGGGGGGGGGCCTATTCGTAGGTGGGGGCTTTTGCTTCTATTTGAAGCTTCTCAGTATGCTTAGGGGCATTTTCGAGGGGGCGGGGTTGGGGACTTACAGTACACGTACATTGGACAAACGTAGTAAGGCTAATGTTGATGAGAACACACCTTGTATACAAGATGAAGATATGACTTTTCATAGCAAATGACATGTAGGTTTGAGTCTCGTAAACCCAAGTGTTGTCTATGCTCGTTTGTGACCTTTACCTTGAACGCGTACACTTTATGGACTTTTTAAAAAGCTTTCTCCGAAAATGTAAACATCGATAAGAGCTTCACGCGCCTAAGATTTCAACAAACACAAAATTTTAATGAATCTGCTGCTTTAAATGCAACGATTTTTATTTCATTTTCCGAAATAGCTTGCTTAAATTACGACGCCTTTTTTCTCAAATAACAAGGACATCCAGGGGAGATAAACTCTTTCTAAGGTTAAAGCCTTCCTGAGCCTTTCACTGCTTTGCAAAAATTAAATTATTTCTTATGGTTTTACATGTGCAATTATTCAAAAATAGTTTACGGCGTTTCGGCATTGAAAATGCAACAAACTATACATTCGTGATTACGTCATAGCTATCAGATTGCAGCAGCTGTATGTTAGATAAATTTGAGAATCTGGTAGACAAAGTGAGTACGTTTATATGCATATTCTAATCGAAGGTCAAGCGTAATTTTAAAAGTTGCAAAGAAACCGAAATATTATGGACCGAGCAATAGGAGTTATGATATGAAGCATTCGCACTTAAGCTTTCCACTTACCGCTTGTTTCTCGACAGCCTGTAGCAAATATTCCTGATTCGGTTTATAAAACACAATACAAACTCCAGTTCGTCCGGCTCGCCCAGTGCGTCCGGATCTATGAATGTACGAGTCGATATCCTGTAGAAAAACAAACGTATAAAAGTAATGCCACGATGAACAACAAAAGTCGTGCCTGTTGTATTGAGGAATTAAACTAACCATGTTCTGAATAAAACCACGATTTGCTGGTGGTCTACAAGGTTTATTCTATGATTTCATTCCCAACACCTTCTAGGAGCAAGACCCCATTAACATTTCTCATTTTCAAAGCTTTTCTGCTATTTACATTACTAACTCACAGACTCGAAATAGGAAAATCACAAGAAAATGAACCCGGAACCAGAAACTTGTGTAAGGCTTTTGCCTTCACGAGTCCAGAAGAACGGGCAAGCAATAGAAAATATGACACAAGATGTGGTAAACATACCGCAGGCGGTTCAGTTTGAATAACAAGATCCACTTCTGGAATGTCAAGACCGCGAGATGCTACGTCTGTGGCAACCAGAACACGAATCTTTCCTTCGCGAAAACTGCTCAGAGTTATTTCCCTTTGAGCCTGGTTTATGTCTCCGTGCAGAACCTGTGTCTCTTGTTTTAAAACCGAATTTAGTGCCAGTTCATTTGCTTCCTTTTTGGTCGATGTGAAAATCATTGCACGGCCATGGGCACCACTGTAAACCTGAGACAAGGAAAGCATACAAACTTGTTGTGCAAGGCAATAAACAAAATAGATACACACATAGCCCCAATTTTTCTTAGTTCTGTATGATTCGAGCTAGCTTAATATACGTATAAAATACGATTCTGCTCACAGTGGCTCTTCTGCCGATTACTTAGACAGTTTCAACAGCCTCTCTAGCAGAAAAGACAACACCTTTAACGATTCTATAAATATCATATTTATATTTTCAAGCAATCGTAAATTATACTTAGAAATAATTCCACTTATATTAAAACTATGTCACGGCGACGTTTGAGTAAAATCTTTAGATGGACTTAATAGAAACAACTTGGCATAAAAAATGTGAATTTGTGAAGCATTACCTGTACAATATCGGCAATGGTTGCAGCCCTCTCGTGGTATGGGCATCGAAGTGCTTTATGCTGTTACGGCAAAAAATTTACATCAAAACAAGATTCGCCCAGAAAACACTGGATATGAATTAGCATCTTCAAACATCAAAACAATCTTGATGCCAGGAATAACCTGAAACGCAGTGACAGAATTTAATTCCGTCAAGTTTGAGCCCACACTTTAAAGCATTGGTTACATATGACATCATTGAAAGGTCATTCCATGTCAGATTGTCAACCACCCTCTAAGATTTTGTTGAATTTAACACTAGAGTTCAGGCGTTCCAGAGGCATGGCCAGCTAAAAATCGGTCTATTTTGGAGTTTTGTGCATGCTAAATTTTCACCAGCAGTAATTGGTCAGTTTCAAAGTGATGTATTTGACATGCATTACATGCATTCACACATACATCTTTCCCTCCCCCGAAATTTGTAGCCTTGATCAAGAACGATTAATACACGATCCACAGCTGATTCAACAGAATTTCCGGAGAATATGATACTAAACAGCAACAACCACAGCCCATACCTCAACTCCGCACGCCGTTTGATCGCCTTCCTCACCAACAAGATCAACAAGTTTCTTGTCCTCACCCATATACTTTTTGCTCGCCTTACTTACCCAGGTCGGCACCGTTGCAGAAAACAATAGTGTTTGGGGTTTGCCTGAACAAAAAAAATGATGTGAAGGGTTGCGTCATCGAGAATCGCTGCTGAAAGGACACGGAATCATGATTTAGGGCTTCAAATCGACTTGCTTGGCTAAACGCATATTCGCTAATAATTTATTTCAAACAACAATGGCTTTATAAGCATTTGGTACCGCAAATATCAAAATAGCACAGAAGAGCGGAAACATATCATATCATACTAAGTGTTTTTCGTCTGACATCCTTTTAAAGTATAAATAATTGTTAATGTTTAAAGGAAAGCAGAAAATTTAAATCCAGATGCAGATTGAAAATAACGTGAGAGGAAGGATAGAGCCAATCAAACGGGCTTTTTTCTCTGAAACTCGAAGTAGCAATCTAGAATCGTCTCGTTTTTTACCAAATAGCTCTGCCTATACGGCATCACGCATTTTATAACAGACTGATAAACAGTAGTCTTCGTCAGTATGATGTAATATGTTTTTGCTCTTCCGTACTTCTTTCAAACGATAGCTTTCTTATATTTTATCCTGGTTCACAATGAAAAAAGCAAAGGCCATTTGAAGATAAACAGTATCTGCACACAAAAAACTGACGCAAAACCTATGAACTGTATATCTGAAAAACAGGAAAAATAGGATAGAAAAAGAAACCCTGGAAGGACAATACCAAACAATGACAAAAACGTGCCATATGCTTTTGGAGTAAATCAGTGGGTGTTTTTGGAATATTTAGTAAAATATTTCAAATTTTACACTAAATCAAGCAATGACGCAAAGTACTACTGACTTTTAAGTTATTAGTTCTGCAGATAAATAGAAATGGTTTTTGCTTTTTTACAACGAAACACTAATCGCTACATCAGTTAATGCAACCATACTAGGAGGGCAAACAATTTTCATTACTAATTGTTCTTTTCAAACTCTTTATTCAATGTACAAATAGCAATCTTTAACGCATAAATACCTTGAGTGTAGGCGTTTTTTAGGATTTCATCTACTTTTTCTTGAAAGCCCATTTCCAACATGCGGTCAGCTTCATCTAAGACAACGTGTCTGAAAAGCGAAGACGCTAAGTTGAGAAAAGGTTAATTTTTGAATTGTGTATCAGTTAACAGTATTTTATGATGAATACTGGAAACATGTCTCAAAGACATTGTCTAATTGAAACGCAAACATTCCAAACCTTGCGAAGGGTATTTACATAATAATTCCAACATTGTGTGAGTGAAGTTTTCAATGGGTGACACAAGCATTTAATAAAAAAGGCTCCTAAGTTTAAGAAAAATGTTGCAAAGATTACAAAGAAGAATGCCGCAAAACTGCAAAAAATGATTGCCAAAAAGGCGAGGAGCAAGCTTCATAAGAAAAATACAAAAAAGAGCACTGGAAAAGAATTTTTGAAACTATTCGATGGCATCCCTAAACAAGCTTAATATTAACAGTTACACAACAAATTGATTTCAGACATCACTGTTTGCTGCACATGAGACATGCGAAGGACCTTTGATATTGCGAGCTCGTTTCTAGCAAAGATGGTAGCAACAACTATTTATTGCGTATAAGACTTTGCGATCGAAAAGTTCAAACAAACGTTAAGCCACTTACTTCAGTTTCGACAAGTCCAAGTTTCCTCTTTCCATGTGATCGAAAATTCGCCCTGGAGTTCCCACCAAAATATCCAGTCCATTTCGAAATGCAGCCTCTGAAAGTAGCAGATATATATATTCCATTCAAATCTAATTTTTATAGAACAATGTTACAAATTATTTAGTCATTAAATCCATGCTAAATTTTTTAAAGAATGCCAAAAAATATCTGGAAGTTGGTCGAAAACGACCTAAAATATTTCTTGCTTCAAGAAGAAGTTTACAGGAAAACATAGAAAATAGATCTTGGGAAGGATGATATAAACAGAAACAGAACGAGAAGATTAAAGTGATGTTTATAGAATCAAAAATGAGAGCAATAGAAAAAATAGAATAAAAGTGAATAGATTTTCACATAGATTTTAAAATCTTATTTCTAATTCTTGGTTGACTGCAAAATCAAAACAGGTTCAGCTTTGACCTTTTTTTTGTTTAGAATATTTATAAAGTAAACATATTGTTAGTGAACAACTACTGACTATATATTTACTTTGTAACCTTATTTTAATGCTTTCATATCCAGCAACAGCTTGAAACTGAAAAGCTCTGCTTTTTGCAAGGCCCAAAGAAGGATTCTTCCCTATTAAATTACACTTGCTTTCAATTCACAAAACATAATTTAACTGAAATGAAACAGTCTTCGTTTACCTTGAGAATCATATGATACACCTCCATAAACACAGACTGTTGACAACTTCTTGCTTTTTATCAGCTCGAATTCTTTTAATATCTGAATTAGAAAAACAATTAAAGACAAAGTAAGCCCTGAACACAAGTACAGAAATATAAGCCATTAAAGAAAAAGCATGAAGAAAATTTACTTGAATTTCCATAAAACAGGTTTGCTCACCTGATTTGCCAGCTCCCTTGTTGGTGCTAATGTCAATACCTAAGAAGGATTTGAAGGATTAACATGCATTCCAAATTGAAATTCAAAGAAAAAAAAAATATCAGAAGCACAAAATTGACTCTCATTTACAAGAAACTTATCAACACAAATAAGTCCAGATCACAAAACAGATGAAGAGTAACTATGCTTAAACTTTGAAAGTAAAGTGCAAGATACATCATGTTTTAAAAATTGAAATAGAAAATGCAGTTTGTACCATAGGTGGTCTTCCTTTGTCTTTAACTTGCTTTATTTCTCTAAGCTTTTCACAAAGCGGCAATGCGAAGGAAAGCTACCAAAGGAAACAGAGCAAATAACATTTTCAAATTCTAAAAAATACCAAACTCTAAAAACATTGATCAACATGTTCCACAGGGATGGCACATGTTCCTCATTCACTGATCAGTTCCTTTCATCATTTTTACTAAATGAGCTGAAATTTTACTGCCAAAACTACCTTGACAATTTATGAAAACAGATTTGCAAAGCGACAAAAAACAATAAATAGTATTATAAAATAAACATGATGATGGAGCTTATAGTAATCAAAAGGATGAGGATAATCAAACCATGACAATATGCCACAACCTCACTTTGGCTTTTTTGCAACTTAACCTGCCTATATCGATTTCTGTTGATGATATAGACTGCAACCAACTCAGGTTTTCATGAATGTGTTTGGTTAGTACTTTGTAATGGTAAATAAAAACCTATGTTTAAGATACACTTGAATGAATTATGAAATCAACCTTTGAAAGAAAATGACATGAAGTGATAAAAAATCATAAGGAGGAGGTAAAAAATGCAATTAAAAGAAGAGCAGTGTTTTATAAACAACACTCACCGTTTTTCCTGTGCCCGTTTCTAAAAATTAATAATGGCGATTAAAAACCACTGTAACTTTTATCATTATCAGTAGGATAATCATGCAGGGGTAGGATTTATGCAAAGATATATACCTTGCCTCCATAGATTAGGTGCATGGGATATAATGGGAGTAATGTATGAGTCAGGGAAGAAAGAGGAAGATGACCTTAGTTATATGAAGAAAACAAGAAACACAGTGAAAGTGAGCAAAAAAGAACAATAAATAAACTATATACTGTATTGTTATGTTTACTGCACTCTCATGGAAAACATGACAAGCAAAAAGGCCATAGAGAAAAAGGTCTTAAATCTTCCCAAATTATTTTGGTAGCAACTCAAAAATAAGGGTAAATGACTTCTTGACTTGACTTCTTCCTAACAATGCAGGAAATACACAGTTTTCAACATTACTTCCGTTGTTGCATAAAATCAGCTCTTCTTTGACAAATGCCTAATATAAAACTTCAAGCAAGTGCAAGAGGTCTTCAGGTTTCCAAACTGAAAGACCCTAGACATTAATTAGAATAGATATACAATGACTATTGGAGTGCAAGGCAAATTTAAACAATGAAACAAAACAGCATAAAGCCTGAAATACATGATCAATTTTTATCAGTTTTTAACTGACAGTTTTTAGTTTTCAGTCAAAAACTGGTTGTGTATTTAGCAAAAACTGTGAAAAAACTGATGAATTATTGATCTTCAGTTTTTGATTGAAGAGATAAACATGTCCAACTATGTCAGCTTTTAACTGATGGGATTTTTATTCATTCCTACAGACTCTACTGTTTTAAGCTGGTGCCACTCTAATACCCTAGTGAAAGATAGTCAAAATGAGGAAAAGTTACAAAAATAGATGAATTGATATATGCATGGTAGCACAGAAAATCAAACCTCAGACTCAAAAGTAATTTCCAAATGCGAATAGTTTGAAAACGATATATCTTTTCTTTTTTCAGTATTTTTGCCTTTTCTTGATGACCAAAGCTGCAGCAAAAATAACCACAGTTCTTTCACGATCAAGTTACATATCAAAACCGAGTGAGCTGTCAGTTGAAAAGTGAAGAAAACTGAACATGTATTGAGGACATCATTTTTGAGAGACCAAAAGCTGCCAGTCAAAAACTGATCATGTATGAAGGACATTAGTTTTTTAAAATTGAAAAATGTCAGTCAAAAAACTGATGAAAACTGATCGTGTATTTCAGGCTTAAGACTTACTTGCTCTAGCAATAATATCACAGCCGTCATAAACATAATCATAGGTTTTAGCTTGAATAGGAAACAGATGTGTGATTCCTCTTTCTGGAAAGAAAATGTTAAATGTGTGATTACTCCATCATGGTAAATGTAAGTTTCTCAAAATTAATATGCAACAAGACACAAAATACAAAATGTCATAAACATAACAATTTAGGATAGATTGATGGTATAGATACTTTCCTCTTCACAAGGTTAGGTAAACATACTATTCATACAACTGTATTTTTACAATACTGTGGATAACACTGATATTACTGTGAAAAATAATCACTTCTTTCAGATTAACATAAATAATCACACTTTTAGATAAACTAAAAATTGGTTTAAGACTTTTATCAAGTAATCAACATCTTTTCAAGAAACTTAATAATCTAATTAAAACACCAATGTATTTGTTGAAAGTCCTTTGTGGCTGTTTTCTATTTCTTATTGTTTCCATTTCTTTTTAAGTTATGTACCATCTGGATTAATGGGATGCTTTTTGCCTCCAACTCAACAGCAATTAAATTTGAGCTTTCTATATTTTGTTTTACTGACAATAAAATACATGACAATGTAAAGCAAGTTGTGTTGCCTAATTTCATTCTCTGTCCCATTTTATCAAGAAAATTCACTAGCAAATACACTTTTATAAGCAAAACTGACCAACAGAAAATAGTGTGTACAAACCCTGAAGTTTCTTTACGGTTTTTGAAGATATTCGGAAATTACTGAAGTCTCCGTTTCCCTTTGGTTCCTTTGGTTCACATGTTCCATCATCTTTTCCATTCTACAACAAAGAAGTGCAAATTGAGCCATCATTCAGCTTCAGCAATGAAACATTTTAAGATTTTGCTGCCTGTTTGGCTCCAACAGTTGCTGTGGCAAAAATGTAGGCCACAAAGAAATGATCTTTCACTCAACCCAAGTGCAGATAATCTAAATGCACATAAAGCATAAATCTGCATCATAATTCTAACTATACATTATGCATTAAAGTATGCCAAAAAGAAGTGGCAGAAGTGAACAAATATATGTTTGAAGATGGCAAGAAATAGTGGAAACATAGCATGCTGAAGTACTGTTTGTCATACTCTCTTTAGAGTATAAAAATAGGATAATGATCAAGGTAGGCAGAAAATTTATATCAAGGTGTGGATCAAAAGTAATGTGAGGAGAAGAAAGGAGTGTTGGACAGGATTTTTTTGGTTTTTTTATTTATCAGTGACTGCTAACCCCCACTTAGTTGAAAATCCAAGTGACAAAACAAACTCTTTCTGTCTACAATGCAAGCAGATTTGAAAAGACCCTTTGCAGCACAAAAACTTGTTTGGTTTTTTAGATTAATCTGCATTCTTAAACTTGACTATCAAACTTAAGGATGGTGCAGGCCTGGCCGTTGGTATTTTCAAGGGTGAGTTGTGAAATGCTTCTCTTATTTGCTGAGGCAAGCTAAATGAGTAACAAATAGAATGTACCTTAAAGGCAATCAAAAGATGGCTTAAGCCCTTGTAGTATCTGTTGATTGCCTTAAAAGTGCCTATGAAATTAAATTAGACAAGTTTAGATAAAGGCACACTTTTAATAAGCAAAATTTGCTGATTTGAATGATATATGGTGAGAGGTAATTTTTTACGCAGAGACGTCTAAAAATTTAGATTGGATATCCAATATTCACCTTTTCGACTGTGACAAAGCATTGTGTTATCTGTGGCTTCACAAAATTTGCAAACAAGGAAGATAATGGCGTTTAGTAAACTAAGCAAAATGGAGGTTGCTATTAGAACTACAGTTAAAATAGTCGAAGGGGGCAATTTTAGGTCAGGGTATAGTGCATCAAACTGTCCATTTTTGCAAAGTTTCATACTGTTGTACAAAGTATGACTGAAATGCAAAATTTAAGTAAAGACAAGCCATAACAGTATGTTTGAGTAAAGACAAGCCAAAAAAATTAGTTTGTCTACTTGTAAACATGGTTTACATTAAGAAGACAGTTTTGTGTGTATTTCTATTCTATAAAAATGACAAAAGAGATCTCTAGCTTTTGCAAAATGGCAACGTTTTTGTAGAAACATAGATTTATTGAGTAGGTTCCAACAAAACTCATCTTTATTAAAAAAGATAAAGAGCAGTACAATGCTATTTTAAGAGTAATCGAAGACTAAGTTATAACTGAAATAAAATACTTTTCTATAAGAAATGAAGGCCGATTTTGAGTACTTCAGCTCCTTAATGATATAGCAAATTCCAATACTCATTCTTTCTTAAGAGTTTCTTAATCTGAAAACAGCACGGAAGAGCAAAAAAATAACATGATAAAGATTTGTGGATAACATACACATAAACCTCAAAGCATAAAGGGAAGCAGAAATGTGGATCAAAAGTAACGAGAGAGTTCAGAAAGAGTGAATGATTGGTTCTTTAACACAAACTTCGTACTTGGCAGTGTCATGTAACAATTCTCATTCTTGCTATCTTACGCTATCTGTTGTTCCTTTCCTGCACACTCATTTCCTATTCCATTGCTAGTTTTAACAGGTATTACTATAGTTTGTTAACATTTGATGTCAAACGAAACGGAAATTTCCTTTTTATAAAGATATTAATAAAAACCATATATCTCGTTATTTGACACGACATTATTTATGAATACCATGATATATAGTGGTAATAGTACTAAGACGGAATGGATTAAATGAGAGCGTTGTTATAAACAACTGTGCTGGCGGAAAAAAGCCCTCGCAAAACTTTTTTGCTTGGGGTTTCGGCGGCACAGGCTATAGCCCTCGTCTTCGGGAATGGCCTGTAGTACTAAAGTACGACTGAGATGCGATAACACTGCCTTTAAAGGTCTGGAGCAAAGTACTCCAGTCTAAAAATAGAAAAAAGGGGGCAATTTTAAGTTAGATTCTATATCCTATATTTTGTGCCAACTTTAAAGAAAAAAAGAAAAAAAAGTGGTATGGTGTGTTTATTGTGAAGAGGGAGCCATCTGCAAACCTTGTGACGTCACTGATTCTTATGCTTTGTCACTCGCACTCATTGTTTTTAAAACCCCAAAAACAAACTTTCCTGTGCAAATTTTCGAGTTAACTTTTCGTTTTATATTGCAACAACACATAGAAGTTTATATTGCAACAACACATGTGCTAACATTTCATTTCATAGTCACTTTGAATAGTTTTGAAGTCAAAGAGTATTTTCTTACTTCTTTCAATTTATAGAGTATTTTCTTACTTCTTTCAATTTATTGGGTATTATCTTACATCTTTCAATTTAACCATTACTCAGGCATCCCATTTGCACAAACGATTTAAAAGAACGACTCTCTCAGTTTTGTGTAAAGCTTGCACAACAAAAAGATAACTATTCTCTTACATGACAATCTTTTGTTGTACAGAATTTAAAAATGGCTTTGAAAAAAGCAAACATTTGAATCAAACTTAAGCTTTTGTCTGACACACTTCATGGTATAAACGCCAGAACATAGATAAAAAACTCTAAGCTAAGAAATACACATACCCAGTTGTGGATGGAACTGCTAGATGGAACAACGTACAGGCTCTACCAATTACCTGAAACATTTTGCCATCACATTTTTTTGCACAATCTGGGTTTTCCAGTAAATGCTGCTCGATAGTGGAATTGCCTGTTTTAGTGGTTGTTTTTCATCTGCAAGACTGAGTAGGCTGTTCTCTTTGAGGGAGAGTTCTGTTTCTAATACTGGAAGGGATCTGCTGTTTTATTTTATCCCCCAATCAACTATCCTTACCAATTTCTTTGACTTTCCTACCAAGAAATTGCCTCTTTTCACGAGATTGAAAGATTTTAACCTCTGCAAATGTACTTTTCACTTCACTATTTTTTTTATCACTATTTTTTTTAAATAGATTGAAGTCTGTGACTATCATTACAAAAACCAACCGTCAGATAAACAATTAACTGCAAAAATGCAATGGCGGAAGAAATCACTTTTACAAAATAAATCAATTAACCCTTGTAAGTTTTTTAGGGTTCTGTAAATACAAAAGGTCAAATCAATGAAAATTTTAAGGGGAGCGATGTTTCGGTCATGTTCTGTGGAAGGGGCTGTGCCACAAGGGACATCCCGCGTGGCAACACGTCTTTGGATAAAGGATGGTGATGCAAAAAAAGCTACTTTTACAGCCTTGATACAGCAACACAAAGGGAGCAGTTAACAGAAATGGGTCGAAATGACACCAAAAAACATACCTTACCAAGTGCAACTTATGAGGGAAAACATTTTTTAAAGTTTGCAGGACAATTTTGGAGTGATCATTTTGTTGCAAGGGAAGTGCGGAGGCAAGCGCAAGCTATTGCTAGCCTCAAAAACAGCCAGGCCTGATCATGATTTACAATTAAAAGATCCAAACCAGTGGAAAATATTGGACACACTATCATAATTGAATAGGACATGTGGAAAAAAGCTTGTTTAGGTCTTTTGAGTGGTATTCCCTTTTTGATATAATCTCATGATTGAAGTATACAGAAAGTGAATATGAGCAAAAATCAAAGTCTGTCAATCTCGAAAATTCACAGAAGAAGGCAGATAAGAATTTCCCCTTAGGACTCCACCTGTACTTTTTCAATATGCAAGCATCTCCACTGATTGGGCAACCTTATAGTTCCTGGCTTAGAGTTTTGATCCATGTTCTTATACTATTTGCTTCACATTTCAAAATATTTCAAAGCCATTTTTATTTGTTTTACTACAAAAAAAAATGTTTGACATCTTGAATGACAACTCATGTTTGACATCATGTTTGACAACTCATCACAATCAACATTATAAGAGAATGTCAAGAAGTTCTGTTGTTATTTGGTTCTAACATGCGAGGATCAAAACTCCAAGATGATGTAACTTCACATTTTCATTAAAACTACACAATATCATATAAAATAATAACGTCAAAGCTAGGTACATTTCAATCAAACGGACAATCTAGATTAGACCATACTTTGAAGCAAAATAAAAGTGTTTATTGCTGATTATTCCCTTGAAATCTTGTATGCAATAGTTTACAACACGCAAACTTTTAGGCCTTCGTGACGAAATTTTAACTAAATCCGATTATATTGTAAAAAATCTACTGACCATTTCTTCACTGGCAACTTTGCTTGACTCGCTTATTATATCTGAAGACTTTGGCTTACTCTGCAGTCTCATATTCTTCAATGATGGCAGAACATTGACGGGGTTTCGACACAGTCTGTTCCTTGTCCAGGCCAAAAGCGTGGACATAACTGAAAAGAGCGAGTTGACCGTGACAGCGTGACGTAATAACTGACATCAATTCAACTCAATAAAAATATCGCAGCTACCTCGTGTTTGCTGCACTTCAACAACTGCAACAGCGTCGTAACAGCAACAGCAACATAACCGAAAATTAGAACCCAAACTTGCAGCCAGTGCTTGCAGCTCAAATTTCTTCAGTCGCACAATAAATTCTAAGCACTTGCAGTGCTGAGGAGAGGGGGGGGGAGGGGGGGTCAGGAGGGTCACTGACCCGGGGGCCCATGACTTAGGGGGCCCATAGATAATAACTTAGCAATTCAGCGTCTCCATTATCAAAACTTGTCAATAATAGAAAAAAACCTTTAAATGAAATGAGTTAGAAGCAGCAACAGTATTAAAACCCCATTATGTTTGTCAAACAGAGCTAGTAGCTTAAGGTAATTTTCTAGTTAGTTAACAAAAAAAATTTCCAAGTCTTTGCATCTGTAAAAGGGTCAATTATTGAGCTATAGTAAAATTTTTGGAAATTTCAGTTTCTTTGGACAACACTAGCAAGCAAAGTCAGAAACAACCTTAACGCAATGACAACATTGGGAAATAAGCGTTGCAGATTCAAATGCTTAAGCTTGTTCAACAACTGCAATGGTTGATGCTCCTTAAAAAAAGTGACTACCCGGTGATGTTAGGAGATTTGTCATCCCTTTTTGCTGTCCATAATTTTGCTCTTTTTTGCTAGGTCATCTTCCTTCAACCTTGTGTATAATCAAAGAATACTGAACCCCTTCCATATCTCGCCAATTGACGTGAATCACCTGACCATCTTTGCTGTAACACTATCAATAATAACAATTCCGACATTATCTTGAATTTTACCAAAGACCTTTTCCTGGTTTCACTTGTAGATAGAGATAAACTTGACTGATTTCCGTTGGTCTTAAATTTTTTGAGACATCTAGCCCCTTGTCTAAACGAGCTTCTTCCAAGATCAAATCAACTAGTTTTTTATTGACATTTAAGGGTTCCATTCTGATTGCTAGATGTAAAGTTTTTCAAATTATTTGAATAGTGAAAATATATTTGGTGCAGCGTGTCCGTTTTGATCAAATTTAGTATTTAAACGTTTTTCATTTCCTAAGATTTTTAAATCATGTAAAGAATCACATATTTTATAGAAATACGCATGCATTGTGACGATAGAATACCAGTCATACTTCAACTATATTGAAAATAATAAAGAAGTTATAGCCACCATCGCAATTTCAGCAACCAAAATAGCCGCAATTTTAGCAACCATCGTCTCAAAAATTTTCCCCGGACCCCTTAAAAGGGTCGCCTCCGGTGTGCCTTGCTTTTTTCTTTTGTTTTGACCTGGGGCCCATAAATCCTCTCCGCGGCCCTGAGCACTTGTAGCCGGACCCAAGTTGTCGTGCTGGCATCTTATTCAAATCCTATTTGTAACTTGGAGCCTTGATTTTCGGTAAAGCTACGATGAAATGCAACTTGTCGAGACTGAACGAGTTCTCCTCCCTTTCTCCCACCCACTAGAAAACAATTCTGGCTAGAAATTGAATATTTATCGACAAAATCATTTTGAAATTTTCCCTTTGAGGCGTATCTTTGGGTGTATTACTAAGTCTACCCTCCATGTTTAATCATTCTCTTACTTGATGACATTTCTAAGAGTTCAAATTATGTTTAGGTATTTTGAGGTGACGAAAAGAAGTTGCTTATTTACATAATGGATGGTCGGTTTACAGCAGTTGCTTTCGAGAAAATGCCTTGCCACTTCCATCTTTTAAATTTCCCGATAACTTTGTGGCGGAGACAAACTTTTCGTGTATACCTTAAACCTTAAAAAATATTGGCAACTACACCTCTAAAACTGGACAACAGTAATACTGTCAGTATTTTCAGCCAATCCCCTTACATCTGGAGGCGATTGTGTATTTGATCTTACGTCTGTCAAGAACAAGTCTGCTGCAAGACTAATAAAAGAATCCTGCTCATGAGAGTTTACGAGCAAAAAACACGTTTTCAGTACTACAAGTTTAGAAAAATGTCGTCGCACGCAAGGAAACGTGCAATTGTGAAAAAAATTGTCTCCCGGAAAAGTGCCAAAAACTACTAAAACCATGCATGGAATAATCTGACATTTGGTTCTTAGCATGCTAAAACATTTTAGCCCCTTTCCCAATTTGTTTTTTGCTCGGCGATCTCTGCCCTGTGCATCGTTTTAAATAGAGCTGAAAAGAACCTATATCATAACCTTTTTGCCGTAGGCAAACTTTAATCTGATGGCTTCTGAAACTTGTAACCAAACTGAAAACCAATCTCTTGGCATGAAATAATCTATTTACACGCGCAGTCATACTTTTCAGATACCAGAAAACAAATGTTTCGAAGAGTTTTTCCGCTGGTAAACTTGAAAAAATGAAGGGACAGAGAAAAGAAAAACGAGAACATGTCAGTTTAATAAGATATCTGAAAAATGAACATGATAACCTAATGTCAACTCGAGAATAACACACGAAACTGTCATTAGGCAACATCAATCTCGTTGGGAACAAAAGTTGCAATCATTTTTGAAAAATGACAATGAGGGTTTGAAATCTAAAAAAAAGAAGGATTGACAAGTTGGCACGGGGGTTTCTCTTTGATTGCAATATTCATCTCAGAAAAGTTTGCTAGAACGCTAGGGCTCCATCGCAGCATTATAACAAAACAACTTAATCGCATAAAATGACAATGCATTAAACTTAAAGGTTTCTTATCTCAATAATTGTTTGAGTTGTAACCGATTACGCATACTATTCAACCATAAGCAGCAGAGGTTTGAGACAGCACTGTAGTAGTGTGTGAACTGCAGGGCCATTTGCTAGGCAAAGCGGTGGTGATGACGTCATATTAAATTTCATTGGCTTGTGTCCATCGACTCTGTATTGCTGGCAGCTGAAGGATCTCGTTGCACTGACTCGAAGAGAGCAGACAGCTCTTGACTTGCATTTATTTGTGACAGAAAGTCACTCAAAAGTGGGTTGACATCTGCAAAAAAGAACAAAAACAAACCATAACTACGTCGTTACTCTATCAACTGCGTGCAGAATCTGAAATTGAAAGGGGGAGAAAAACTAGAACTCGAAAAAGTAGAGTCTGAACGCAGGCTGAGAGACGAATGGATGTATAACATTTAACCTGATCTGACAAAAATATAATCTATTTTCCTGCCGCCAAGCAGCATCTGGACACCCTCAAGCATCTACCATACATCACATTCACTCGCCAATAGGTCTGATACTGTTTATAAATGAGACCAGGGGTCAGCTTACTTCAGAATATCAAAGAACAAAACCCTTCCAGAATATCAAAATGTCTTATCTCCATCCTCTTTGATTTTTTGTCTTAAATAAGGAACACTTCTATAATTCGCAAAATGTCTTTTAAGCACGCTGGGCATTTCAAATGGACACCAAAGCTTTTCTACGTTGTTGTGTATTCATAAGTAAAAACAAGAGTATATAAATGAGCATTTAGATGTCCACCACAGCTCAAATACTGTCTTTTTTTAATAGATTTACGGTGTGTTTTCCAAAGCGTTTATTGAATGAAGCGATGAATATGTTAGTAGTCAGATGTACGGCAGGAGTATTTCACTCGGTACTATGAAAACGAGGCTTAGAAATGGGACCTGCTTATCACAAAACGGGTACAAGGTGGATCCTTTCATCCGCGTCAATACGACAAGAAAGGACGCGGACTCGGCTATAAACTGTTTTCAAAGAGGATATTTCACGCGTCCAGATTCAAAGCTGACGGAGATAGCATTCTAGGAAAAGCACGAAGACTTTAAGGGACTGGCAAAGAGTAATGTGCAATTGGAATGGCGAGGCTTGATGAAAGATAATGGCTAGGCTAGGATGGCTGGAAAACTAATGTTCGTCTGTCTTAACATCGCCAGTACCAAAATCATGCAGAAGGAACAACAAAATATAGTAAGCCATCTATGAATACCGAAACGCGATAATTTCGAGGACACCATAAGATAGATAAAAATCGTTAGCTTGAACGATACTTCAAAGAAGCCCATCGTATTGCTCACATGGCAACTTGAACGAACGCAATTAATTTGGACGCAATACGGATATCATTTTATTAAAGAAAAATACAGAAAGCAAAAAAAAAATAGAAACGCTAACAATTTGGAGAAGAAAAGAAGCTTACGACGAAAAAAGCAAGGATACAAGGGAAAGAGTTTTTACGCTGTTAACTGTAACAGGAAACTATAAAATATTATTAAAAAAATTGCACCAGGTAGAAGAAAGTCATTCCCTAAAGTCCTTTTCATTCATTCATATGGTATAAAAATGCGGGACACATTTCAGCCATTTACACAAGGAAAACCGCAGGAACGACCAAGATGGATGCTGCTAGCGAATAACGAACCACCGGAAGAACTCATCCAAGCAACACAACCGGACAGGCAAGAAATGTACGTTTATAATCCGGAATATGATGCCGGAACAATGAGAAGAGATGAGCAAGCAAACGCAGTTGAGGGCTGTCTATATGGACTATTTGCAGCATGTTGTTGTTGCATGTTATTTGACATGCTTACGTAATATTTCTTAAAGAGAACTAAAGAGAGTCGCAAAGCGATAAAAATACAGCAGTAATCTAACGCTAATGAAAAATAAGTACGGTTTTGTACAGTACGGTTTTGTACGGTACGGTTTTTTACGATAGGGTTATCAACATATTGTTGAAACAAGCCTTATTTCATTATCTTAACATTATAGCTTTTATTTTGTTGCAAGGTACAAGGTAAAAACGTTGCTAGCGAAAAAGACATTGGATGCAATTTGTGTCTTAAGAAATATTGCGTTATCAAATGGATTTTCACGTACCATACGTGATTTACTTTAATGCTTACCGTTATATAATGCATATGTTAATAAAAGACTGCAAGCAGTAAAGCTTATAGCATTGCCTACAACCTTACCTGCATCAGGTATTTGTTGTAATGCTGCAACGGCACGCAGAGCCGATCGCTTCAGTTCGTCTTGCTTTTCGAATTCTTGTTTGACTGAATATGCTTTCACCTTGGCTTGCACTGTCGTCCTGAGAGGCTCGATAATTCGATCCAGATCTTGACAAATCAAAACCAAAAATTAGCCTTAGTTTATACATCGGATTTCTGTCCAGTTAAATTCAACTGCTATTTTTCAAGTATTAAGCTTTAATTTTTCTTTGAAAAATATTATGTCTTTAACTTCATACTTAACCTGTGTCGATAAAATAATAAATGTTAAATCTGTAATCTATTATTTTCAATTGAAAATTTGCGGGATTCTTTTATGCTTGACTTTTATTTTTTTTCTCTTGACTCAAAATCAACAACGATACATGCTTTCGCTGGTAATCAAAACTCCATAAAATAAAATGAATAAATAAACAGATAAATGATGGAAAAAAATTGCCTGAGCAGATGGAAGTTTATCGAAATAGATCATTTCTGGTAAGTTGACGCAATGAGAACCACATTAAAAACAACGAGCTTACGTTGCAACAGAGCATTTGGACAGAGAGTCGACAATCGAATCAACATCAAATATGTCAGCATCTAAGGGGAAAAAATGAAATATGTTCAGATATTAGATTCGTTTAATGCAAATAAAACTAACTTAAATCATACGAATTGCACTAAGACACGATAAAGATTGGATTTGCAAAGCCTAATCCAGGGGAAAAATGGATAACGTTCTGCAACACTGCAACAAACGCTTCAAATTTCGGAGCAAACATATGAAATGAAATGATAAGTCTCATTGACAAAGGATAGAACTGATTGACAAATTCTGATTCAAATGTAGACGTATTCAAGTGCACAAGAAAAAGCTTACTTTTATGTCATAATGATCTTTCAAGCCATCTTCAACATGAACGAGGAACTCGAAAATATCGATCCTGTCCAGACATGAGTCTAAAAGCGTATACATGCATTCGAAGGCAGCCTGAAAAAAAGTTGAAAAATCGATACATAGGCCCGCCACCAGCAGCCAGGTGCACAAGGGAAAAACGGAAGGGAGTCTTCATCGAATCTCAATTCTGGTTCCTTTTAATCGCTTTATAGACTGAACTCATATGAAAACTTATAAAATACGAATTATATTAAAATTATATTTTTTGTTACTCTGTGACGACTTGCGCATACGAAAATAAAGGAAGATTCTCTAAGAATTGATATGTTTTAACTAACTTCATGAAATGAATATAAAAATCATAACAAGGATCGTTTTGAAATCTAAAATAACAAATGCTGTGGTAAGGAAGTCATTCTGCACCTAACATTATAACAGGAATGGCGACCTGAGAAAATTAGAAAGAAAAGAAAAGCAGAGGAAATAACGAGGTCTACCTTTCTAATATCAAGACCGTCATCGACCGTGTGCTTAAAAGGGCCCATTTCCATCTCTCGAATTAGCTCTTTCTGAGAACGAAATAAATAAAGTGTTATCAAATGCGATAGTAATATAGGACGTGAACTAGCAGTAAGAAAAAATGAAAAAATATCATATTTTGACGTGAGATTCAGTCATTGCATTTGTTGCATATGACAAATAAAAAGCACTATTATGAGAAGTGGTAACTCATCTGGAAAAATACAGTATGAAAGCATACCCTGACTTTGGTCTCGTTATAAAGATGAGGCAGTATATCACCAAGGAGGTCGCGTATAAATGCAGGTTTGTTGTGAGCTGCAGAGTTGAATGTTACCAAGGAAACACGACGAACGTTCTAGGAAAAAACCAATTAGATTTGCTATTTTTGTTTGAACTGCTAATTGAATAACAAAGCAAAGAAAACTGTGGAAGATGGCTTTTTTAAACTCAATAATAATTCATATGCATACAGGTTGATTAGAACGAAGATGTATTGAACATAGGGTCATGTCTCCAATCTTCTAAGACGTAGGCACATGACAGTAAATAAACAATCCATCGACAAACGTGTCTTTTTCGGCCTTTCCCAAACCCAGCGAGTCCTATTTAACGTGTGGAGAACACGGGGCCAGATGGGTCAGCTTGATCTAGGCATAGAACGGGAGACGTTGAGTCAGCTTGATTTAGATGAGTGAAGCTGTAAGAACAGTGGTGAAGGGAATGTCCTATGTTATGCGATGCCATAAATAACGTAAGGGGAGGTCATGAAGATGGCATGCTCGATGAATTAATAGGAAGTGAGTGTAAAATGGCCCAAGAATGGTCACTACAAAATATTGATCGGATGAGTCTGCGATTGATAACGAAGAAAAAATGACAGGGCCCACGCCACCGATGGTACCCCGCTTTTTTCGAAGCATGTAGTTTTAAAGCTGCAGTGAAAAGGGAAAGAAGTCTAGGCCCCCTTCTTTTGCTAGCCTGCCCCCCCCCCCACTTTCAAATTCGTGGCGTGGACCCTGGTGCGAACGAAAATTCTGTGACTCGGAGGCGGACTACGGAGTTCTAAATTTAGGTACGGACGATATGGGGACAAACAATTTAGAACGCATTTAGAAATCAGTTGCATGCATATGACTGTGTGTTCATTTTGGCATGACCAAAGAGCAGTTTTCTTTTTATCACCAATGGCAGATGAATGAGGGGCCCCATTCCAAAAGAATTATGAAAATCCTTTGTTCCAGTCTAAAAATAGCACAAGAGTACATTTTTCACTTTGCGTCCATATCCTATTCTTTTTTGCGTATCAAACTGTCTTTTGTTTCAGAGTTTCATGCTATTCTACCAAACTGAGACCGAGATGCGATATTACCGTCTGTAATGGTCTGTGAAAAAAGTACCCCATTCTAAAAATAGAACAAGGGGACAACTTTCAGTCGGGATCTATATTCTATCTTTTTCAGCATATCAAACTATCCCTTATTGCAAAGTTCTTTGCTATTCTACCAACGTGAAACTGAGATTCGATAATACCGTCAATAAAGGTCTAGGGCAAAGTGCCCCAGTCTAAAAATAGCTGAAGGGGGCAATTTTCAGTCGGGATCCATATTCTATCTTTTTCAGCGTATCAAACTGCCCCTTATTGCATAGTTTCATTTAACAGGCCTGACTAAACGGCTTCGCCTCGACTCATCACAGCGGGAAATAAAATTTCGCAATGCAACTGCAAAATGACATTCAATAACACAAATGACACTTTGACACTCAATAAAAAAAGAACCATTTAACTTATCGGAATTCTGTTTTTTGCATAAGAACAAGGGTGAAGGATTCTATAGATTTCTTTTAAAATATTGGAATGGCAAATTTCGCTGCATGTGCACTTTAAGAAAGGGGTTGGTAGAATTCGTAAAAGAAATGGAAAATACAAAAAAATGACACAGTAATCTGGAGGACTTAAAATAAAATTTGGACTTCCTTGGTCAAATAAAAAAATCAAACTTATAAGAAACTCCTTGAAGCTAGCCTTTGATGAAGGCTTACCTTGAAAAACAACACAAATGATAAAGAAATAAACAACATCAAAACTCGAAAAGCTTGTAGGTAGAAAAAACTTCTGTAGCAAAAACCTTAAGATGACATGATCATGATTTTCAAAATAATATAATCATTTCAAACTTACCAAATCTTCATCAGTAATTAGACTAAGAAAATGCGTGACGCATTGCTTCAGCATATCATCAATTGGTTGGGGCTGCAAGAAGAACACCAATCAATGAGAACATGGCATCGTGCCAAAGAATTGTGACGCGTTCCATGTTAATTCAAACATTAAAGCAGTTTCCAGAAAAGAAACTTGACCAGTTAAGCTTTTTTCCCATAGCGGTCAAATGATTTTTGCTCACCTGGTCTGTGATGGTGAATTTAAACGCAGTGACGACGGTGCTGCGCACATATGCAGACTTTGACGTCAGTTTCTCCTGGAAAGGTGAAGCAATAACAGATTCAGAAATACAATCACTTTACACGTCAATTTATATTTGCCCAATCGCTATTCATTTTTTATAAAGCACAACGAAGAACAGATTACCTGTAGTTTTGGCAAAAGTTCGGTCGGATCAATTAAAGTCAGTTTTCCGAGGCATTCTGCGACTACGTTTCTTGTCCCTTGCTCCTTACTTTCACAGTGCGCAAACAACAAATTCCTTTTGAAAACAATTATAAGCCAAATCAGTTATCATATTATTGATCACAAAACAGTTGTTACTGAGCAACTAAGACAAATGGAATTTACAAAGGTTAACACTTAAAAGTCGCCAAAGGTACTCGTACTTCAAACTAAAAATACAGTACCTTTACTCATAAAAACAAGGTTTCGCATTTGATTCGTTTATTTCCTTCATATTATTTCATTAAAATATTTCTCATATCTGATCAATTTCTAGCATGTGACTGATGAAACACGCAGTCATTTCTAGGGTACCTTAAGCATTGGCCTTAAACAATTACAATGCAGGGTTTTCATGAATATGCAACACTAAGCGTCCTAATGTGTTCTTCAGCAATCACCAATCAACCACTGCTACGTCATGGAATCTACTATTTGATCTGAGAGTTTCTTCTTGGTGGGCCTTTTAAATGAGAAACGTTTTTCGTTTTTGCTTCATTTCAATATAAGTGATTTATAATAAAACAAATCTAGAGGCTTATGTTTCTTGAATTCAGCCTTTTTTGGAAGAGTGTTCACTATACAATATTTAGCAAGATCAGCTACATCAATGGCAGATTTATTACGAGAAAACAGCAAAAGTAAAATTCATACCAAATCGGAGGGAGGAAAGGACTCAACGCTTTCACTGATTCGCTATTTGCAGATTGGCATGATATGACCTGATGAAAAAAAGAAAAGTCTACAAATTGGTTGACAGAATGGCTTAAGTTGCTGCTTTCTTTCAGTTACCCAAATAATAAAAAACTCCTGCATGCTTTCCAAGAATCAGTTTAGAAACATTATATGAAAATGACATGGTTAACGTATGAAAAGCTATGAAAGATTATTGCTTCATCAATAAGAATGTCTTAATGGCATTCTTCATCACATTCGCTTCAGTGCTTTAAAAGTTAATAAGCAAACACTGTGAATAAACGATGGCCTGACCTCCTTTAGTGACTGGAGAAGTAAATATTGTCTTTTTGGATTCTCTTGAATTTCTTGCAGAATAAATGATAAGTATTCGTTCAAATTTCCGATGCAAACGTGACCTATAACGAAACGGAAGCATTAAACGGAAGCGCAAGTTGAAACAGCGGAAAATGATGAGGAATTATACATAAGGAATTATAAAAAATTCACTCACATTTACCAAAACATTCAAATATAAAAAATAATTTGACATGATACACAGGGCTTAACCTTTACTGGATAAAACGTAGGCTAACTTTACCTAAAAAAATAAAGGCGTAGAAAATGGTTCAGTCTGTATTCTGGAACTGACTAAGCCGGTTATAGCTGCACCCGACTTTCAATAACAAAAACAGGCAGTAACAGAAGCAGTTCAGCGAGTGCAATCAGGTAATCTTGGTATTCTTATGATACTTTTCACTAGCAGTTGAGAAAGCTGGACGATCAACTTGAGACAGCTTGCACCATAACGCTTTTGTTTTGCTGTTAAGTGCATTCTGAATTACATATCCACTTACGGTCGTCTCTTTAAGCCTAAGGAATGATTAAACTGTTTAGATAACTGCAGTCACATCTGCTTCCTGTGCTGTGTATACAAGTATCATTCACATACCTAGAGCATACGCTGCTGCAGATTTGACTTCTTCGGAGTCCGATGAAAATGACTCGACAATGACAGCCTTCACCTTCTTCTCTTTGCTTAGATCACTGAAAGACAGAGCAGAGAAGTAAAGGAAAACCACGACACGGCAATACTGGTCAAAACAGAAACCTTGTTGATCAGGCGAGCGGTAGATTTAAAAATCGACGACTGCAGCTAAATATGGAGGTAAAGATGAAAGAAGCTTACATGAACGAATATGAACGAAGCTTACATGAACGAAGATGAACGAAGCTGACATGAACGAAGATGAACGAAGCTTACATGAACAAAGATGAACGAAGCTGACATGAACGAAGATGAACGAAGCTTACATGAAGGAAGATGAACGGAGCTTACATGACCGAAGATGAACGAAGCTGACATGAACTAAGATGAACGAAGCTGACATGAAAGAAGATGAACGAAGCTGACATGAACGAAGATGAACGAAGCTGACATGAACGAAGATGAACGAAGCTGACATGAACGAAGATGAACGAAGCTTACATGAACAAAGATGAACGAAGCTGACATGAACTAAGATGAACAAAGCTTACATGAACGAAGATGAACGGAGCTTACATGACCGAAGATGAACGAAGCTTACATGAACAAAGATGAACGAAGCTGACATGAACGAAGATGAACGAAGCTTACATGAAGGAAGATGAACGAAGCTTACATGAACGAAGATGAACGAAGCTTACATGAAGGAAGATGAACAAAGCTTACATGAACGAAGATGAACGGAGCTTACATGACCGAAGATGAACGAAGCTTACATGAACAAAGATGAACGAAGCTGACATGAACGAAGATGAACGGAGCTTACATGACCGAAGATGAACGAAGCTTACATGAACTAAGATGAACAAAGCTTACATGAACGAAGATGAACGAAGCTTACATGAACGAAGATGAACGAAGCTTACATGAAGGAAGATGAACGAAGCTTACATGAACGAAGATGAACGAAGCTTACATGAACAAAGATGAACGAAGCTGACATGAACGAAGATGAACGAAGCTTACATGAAGGAAGATGAACGGAGCTTACATGACCGAAGATGAACGAAGCTTACATGAACTAAGATGAACGAAGCTGACATGAAAGAAGATGAACGAAGCTGACATGAACGAAGATGAACGAAGCTGACATGAACGAAGATGAACGAAGCTTACATGAACAAAGATGAACGAAGCTGACATGAACGAAGATGAACGAAGCTTACATGAAGGAAGATGAACGAAGCTTACATGAACGAAGATGAACGAAGCTTACATGTAACTGCCGATCTCTCCCAATGCCAAAAGAGCAAAAAGACGAACAGAATCTGATGATTTTGAGTCCTACAAGAAAAAACGAACTTTCAGCTGTAAATAAATATATATAGTAAACTCAATACTTAGATATGAAGAAAACAAAAGTTTTCCCATCAATTTCCAGAGGCTCGAGTCTAAAACTGTCATCAAACAACTTGTAACTAACATATGATTCTTCTCCCATTATTATAATGTTCTCATTCGTAACTGGCAAATTAGCAGACCATACAAGGTGAAATTTTGTCATAACTACATTTTGACTATCTTCACACAATAATTTTGTCGCACAATTAACATATATATTTTCTAGAAAAATCTTGTTTTCCTGCTTTGCAATTGTTCAGGCTTTTTCTCCTTATCTTTATACTGAAGTCATTTGCAACTGGTTTATAGAAACCCGTTAAAAACCTTGAATCGAGTACACCTGTCTTAAAAATGCACAAGAGGAATTTGTCAGTTGGGACTGCATCCTATCGCGATCAAGGCATGTACTTGCAGCAAGATTCATGCTTTTATTGTGTTTTGCAACTGATTTTTAGGAAAAAATTCCTCAAAGGCCTGGGATCAAGTACCCCTGTCTATTAATAGCTCAAGGGGTACTTGCCAGTTGGGGCAGCATCCTATATTTTTCAGCGTATTGAACAACAAATGTGAAAATCGTTTTTCGCTTCATATGACCTTTAAAGTGAAAATCTCTTCTTAAAGAGCAAAATGTAACGTATCTGACATATACCATGATATCTGAAATGAACTTGGACACGACGGCATCTGCTTCGTGTTTGCAGACAATAGTGAGAACTGTCACGCATTTTGCAATTGAGTGGAATGCCTGATGAAAAACATGAGAAAATTAGTTTATCTTTCGGAAAATGTTGGCAACAGATTGAGTGAAAGAAACTATAAAATCAAGGGATGATCTGCTTTATTGAAATTACCGATAGATATAAACAAAATAAGTAAGCACATTAGCAATATTTAAAAATATGTTTTCGAGGCGGTTCAGTGACCTTCTTAGAAGACCAGATCTTGCAAAATCGTGGAACAACATGAAAAATGAAGGTTTAGGCAAAAACTGATTTTTATGACCATGTATAACACGACTAACACTTATTGACCAAGAAGGTGTTTAGAAGTAGGAAAGAGCCATAAATTGGCACCTGAAAAATTAAAAACTAAAGAGAAATTGAAAACTTTCAGAGAAATTATCGGGCAAAACAAGAACCGAAGCTGATTTGGATTGAATAGTGGTCGTAGAACACCATGTCATTGAGCTGACAAACAAGAGGCAATGAATTTTAGAACATTGATACAATGCAAGAGGTATTACCTGTTTGTGAACGGCCAGCGATGGCAATGAAGCGTCATGTTCGTAGATTGGTTTTGTCAAAATCTATAGGCAAAGAGAATGACGCAAACAGTGTTATGAAAAATCCTTTCATAGGAACAAAATACGAAAAAATCGTGCGCAAAAAATAAAAAAGAGATAAACCACTGTCAACTTAAAAGTATATTGAAGCCCGAAAACAAATAAAAGGCCAAGCTCATAAAAGTCTTAATGAAAGTTCTCTTTCCACGTAAATTAGTTTATCATGTTGTATTTTTTCGTCATCCTATTTTGCTTAAGAATCTTTTATCTTTCAATTGACTACTACTATTATCATTTTGATATTGGGATTCTTTTATTTCTGTCAAGTTATTCTTCTAGCTCTACGTTGGGCAACATTATCTTTCCTTTCTGCTTATCTATGGTGTGATTGTGTATAAGATATAAGATATAAGATAGAAGAGCCAGACATCAAATAAACACCTGACTCTTATAATTACCAGTTAATAAGTTCGGTTTACTTTTAAAAACACAGCATACCTCCAAAAAAGGAAAGTTTCCAGCCCGGTTGTTACGAATGTAATTAAAACTGTTTGTGAAATTATAATAGAATACAGAAACAAAGGACCATATATAATAGAAAGCAACTAACTAGACTAATAGCGATTCACCTTACCTGCAATAGAGTGCGGTACGACAAGCCCAGTTTGTCCGACTTGACAGCTTCAGTTAAAAATGCCAACATGGCCGTCAGGGCTGAGCCTGAATGGAAAGAGAAATCAAATTACTTCCATGCAATGACAAATTTGGAACAGTTCACAAAAGCAGGTGGATTCGCAGATTTTTAGTTCGAAGTATATACCCTAAATAACTTGTCCGAGTGCAAACTTTGTCTATCTTTTGGAATTTTCCAGCATTCTTTACCCGGCTAAATACCTCAGCACAAACTTTGCATAGGTTTGGCCATGGTCTTTCGATTCATATCCTGATTAACTGAACCGGGTATGAACTTTTGGCGTTTGTTCGGTGTTTCACACCCGGGATAGCACTGTTTTGTTAGATCCTGAGCTTGGAATTGAAGTCAGATGATACCTCTCTGACTACATTTATCTGCATTAATCAACTGTTAAAGGGGAAAACAAGAAATATTTGAAAATACGAGACCTTGTAGCAAGGGTGATCGTGTGAGCTCTACAGTCGCTGGCAGAATTTTCTCTTGAACCTATGGAAATCATAAGGCGGTGAAAATATAGGGCACATTGCAAAGGAATAAACTATCGTATAAACATCGTTTACTGAGAAATAAAATCAACTTAAAAACTCTTTTAATCTAAAAAACTTCAAATACACCACAAAATCTTTACGATTCAGCCACTCTACAAACTTTACATCCTGATTTTCATTATATTTCAACTCGGATTAGAACGTAAAACACGTTTCTCGAATACCATATCTATTCGATTATAAGCCGTGGCTAATAATGATTTTTTGACACCTTTGACTGCAGTTTATAATTGAGGGCGGCTTATAAAGGCGGGCGGCTTATAAAGGCTTATAAAGGCGGGCGGTTTACATATTTTACTCAGATCCTACCAAGCCTCCTGCTACCTTGAAGCTGACGGTGTTAATGTAGAAGATGAGGAAGGAATACTTCTGAGCCTAATTGATGATCCCATGCTGGACAATATTGTTGTTGGTTGAACTTCTGATGTTTATTCTTTTATTTAAGCACACAATCAGGTTTTTATCAGTGGTTGCGTAAGTCATTTCAAACCAAGTATCTCTGAACGACGGTCTTGTTGGTGCGGCTTATAATCAAATACAAACATTTGTATAAGTTTTTCATAAAAAGAGAAGGTACACGAAAGACACGAAAAACACGGAAAACACGCACCTGACCAAGCCTTGTATTGTCGACGCGAGTAATGGATGTGAGCAACATCAAGGCGAGCTGAAGGGGAATACAGTGCAAGTAAATTGCCTATCAAATCAATTTCTAAGAACGCTGTGACTACAGATTGATCTATCGACTTTCAACAGGGATAGATCATAAATTAAAGATGGATGGGACCACTATGCAACTACAACCTTACAACCAAGTGTCCATTAAATTAATAAAGAAGACATAATTGTGTTATCCACAATTAACAGGCAGCAAGGCTTTCTCGGACAACATGATCCAGCGAAGCTACTTTTAAAACAATAATCAAGATAGGCCGGCTGGAAAACACTGGCACGTTAAGCAGCATACTAACTTTATCTGCGAAGGAGCTGACGTATGGCTCATAAGCAACAACACCGCTCATAAAAAATGAAAACCACAACGAAGGCAAAGAGACTAGGGATTAATTTTGGACAATTTAGGAAAAAATCACGGAAAGCAAAAGTGCTGCATGGGTACCAAAACCTTGCAACAAACGCTGCATTTCAGACTTCAAATGCCTAGCTATGGCTAATCAGCACTGTGAATCGACTGTCATGAATTGAACTAGTACCTGTGAAATATGAAGGTCGCTCTCGCTGATGAGAGGAGAAAGCTCGAACAGAATCGCATCTAGATGCTCCGCTGCCATTAGCTTCCCTGCAAAACAAAGAGGCGTTAAAACAAAGAAGCGTTAAAACAAAGAAGCGTTAAAACAAAGAGGCGTCAAAACAAAGAGGCGTCAAATCAAGATCGTCCCTTGTCGTGATATGCTGTGGCAAACATTTGTTATACAATCAAGAAAAGCCATTGCAAAATCAAGTTAGGGCATTGTAATCTTAGGGAAACGTGTAGGTTTTCATGAAATCAGTTGAAACAGACCTGGCGCTCGAATCGAGAATGTGAACTGACTGATTATCGAAAAAAGCTGTTTAAAACACAACAGTTATAATTAACATAAATTATTATAAATAAGTCAGGAGAATGCAAAATAGTCATAATTACTTATGATACCTTTGATAAAAGGCTGAAAAATTGAACTTACCATAATTTTTGACAAGTGTATCTAAACACGTCAATGTTGACAATTTCAAAGCTCGGTGGTTCTTTCGCAAAAACGTTGCAAGGAGCGGCGTGGCCTCAGGCTGCAGAAGATACAAAGAAAAGGGCGGTGATTGTACGAAAGTGTCTAAAGATGTTTGAATGCATCAAGATGCGTGGGATTGACTGGCATGGTTTGAAAGGTATCCAAAGAACTTACCAGGATAATTTGCAGATTGATCTTCAACGGAGACCTACACGGAAAACCAATACAAAATCAAAAATAAGAATTATTAAAAAAGGCCACGTGATCATCGTCTGGATGCAAAAATAGAAAAACTTCTATACTGAGAAGCCATTAATAACATATCTGAACGACTCAAAAATTGAATGCAAAAAAATTGAGATGCTTATGGTTAGCTATGTTATAAAATGGTATGCAATTAAAACGTAAAAAATTGCTACAAATAAGAGCAAAATAAGCTATGAAATAAATCAAGTTTACATTCACATTTTGAAAGATACGTGATAATAAACGAACATACCCAGCAATTGACGTAACAGCCTTGACAGCTGTCAATCTTGTGATTTCATTCCTTAGCCGATCGAGAAATATAGGTAAGCAGTTGCCGAGCTCAGAAGTCAAAACATCACCCATATTGCAGAGAATCTGTCCCCTGAAAGAAAGAAATAGTGAATGAATATGGACATGTAATATACTGCAGTCCAGTCCGCTAATTGATCATTGGCAGGAACAGAAAAACTTTGGCACGATCCCCTAATCACTCTTATTCCTAAAAGACCGTGTGTTAAATAAAAACCATGTTTCTATATAGTTAAACCATAAGAAAACTCGACCATAGTGCAAGAAAAGCAGTTTTTAGACAAGAGAGATCTTGATGCAACCCGTTTTACTATTTTATGGTTAATGTGATAATGATTTGGTAGCCCGACCGCACTAAACACATACACTATCATCAATTTCAGCTTGCATTGAAATCCTGGTTTTGTCACTCTTTAACGTCTCAACAAATCTTCTCTACTATGATCATAACCTATCCTTGCCACTTTTGTTATATTTCATGAGATCTATTCAATGTTGCATTAAAAAAACAAGAATAAGCACAAAAAACCTGAGAACCTGACAACCTCCCCCCCCCCCTCATTAAAAAACTTTCAGTTAAAGAGACGTCGCTTATCGTGTGAAAAGAAAATCCTCAAGCACGAATATACACGCACAAAAAACAATTATACATTATATGTTGAGGATTTTAACATCGAAAATTCTGATATCAAGCAGATCATTTGCAGTACAAAGAGACTCACATGCAATGAATTGATCGTTCCTTCACTTCTTGGTCAATGTCTGCTGCTCTTAGTCTTAGAAACACACATTGGTATAAATCTTTTAGATAGGGTTGAAAATCGAAAGAACTTTCACGGTCTATAAGAAAAGGGGGAGCATTAATATACCTGAAAATTTACACGGTAAAAGAAAATCAGAAATCGTAAGTAAGTGATCTTCTATCTTATTCAAATGCAAGTATATAGAATATAGTATTAGACACGCCAATGATACATGGATTAAAGCAAGTGAAAGTTAGCCCAAATGAATCGGCTTCATTCAGCAGTGCAAAGCAACAGAAAGGAACGTTAAAGGGAGATGGACATATAAAACAACATGGACTTTACTAGAGACAATACGCGGCACAAATTACGAGACAAAAATTCTTGTTTTAGGTTAATCCTTACCAACAGGTCTCATAACTTTGACAAGATGTTGTGTAACTAACAAGGCCTCCGACGTAATTTTGTAAAACTGGTCACCAACTGCAGCAACAATCGCCTGCAAAATGAAGATAAAACATGCAAAGTAGAGATTGCGGAGATGCAGTTGAAAGTATGACAAGGTATTGCGTGATGGATAATACCACAATTTGGAATTGTACTTACAGGGACTATGAGATGAATGTGATCATAAAAGACTTCTGGCTCGTGTTGTGTTAGGATGCACCCCAGGAAAGACAATGTGTCAATTTTTATATTCGATGTCGAGGCTTTGTCACTAAAAAAGAGGTAGAACAAGGATAACATGATGTAAAAATACCATGAACTATTAACAAAAGGAATGCTAGCAAACTTTTAATTTTCTAAAGTATAACAAAAGGAAATATTAGATTGGCAAAAATTTGTGGTTTACTTGTTACCTTAAGGAATGCTGAACACCAGGGATGATTTTGCTCATGTAGCCAGACAACGCACCAGGGAGGACAGTAACAAGTTCAGTTAGAAGATGAAAACAACCCTAGAATGAAGGCATTGGTCATCACAGTTGCATCTGCTATCACATTTGATCACATATCACAAGGGAATATTCACGGGTGGAAGAAAACGTGACAAATTTTAACAAGGTCCTGAATAGAAGCATATTGCATTCTGCGTCCTGTGGAATGACTTTCTTTATGAAAGTATCAAGTATACACTCAGGTGAAAAATAATTTCTACGCAAATCAAAAATGATAAACCTTAACATTAAAGCAAATACATTGTCTTTAACATTAAAGGACACACGTAGAGAGATTAAGATAACATAACAAGGTATACAGAAGACTTTAAAAGAAAATTAACCTGTCTTGTCTTTATGCTCTTTTCAAGAAGTTGCTTATGAATCACTTTGATCATGCTAGCGACTTGTGAAGACAAACATTCGATCATACTCGTGCTGCGGTTTAGCACTCTGACGTCACTGCAAAATACAATCGAAGCAAAATCACATGATCAAGTCTACACTCGTTGATGCCCGTAAATAAGAGAGTTTTCATACAAAACATAATTTATTACTTCGATGCACTGCGCCTTGAATTGCACATCTAAGATTATACAACTCGAAATTATACATACACGCTTCAAATAAGACGTTGGTGAAGCTATGATTGGAGTTTTTTTAAAGAGATTTAACATGAAAAAAGCGCAAAAAACATCAGTTGCGAAATGCACCGCAGCTGCTCCGATCACCCTATTGCATACATACTAGAGAGGTAGAAAGGTTGAAAAAGCCTTCATACAGATAGCACTGATATCTCAATGTTCTACCTGTGTGCATGCAACATCTTGGCTTGCAAAAGGACACAGAAATGTCAAAGTTCAAGGCTGCCTTACCGCTGCCGTTCTTGCTTTGAACGCTCTGTGGCCAACAAAGCGACGGGTCGCGTCTGACGGAGGAGAGCAACGTACGCCTGGAATATATCCGACTTGACATTTTCTTCACGCTCTAGGAATTAAAGAGGGCTCAAGCATGGGTCATTTGATCAAAAGAGCAAGGTGGCAAGAACTCTGTAGTTAAAAACTTACTGGATAATCATTAATAAGATCGAAAAGGAAGCATACCTTTAAATCTTGCAATCAGTTTTGGTGAAACGGATGCATAAAACTCCCTGAGAAGATCAGGCCTGGAGCCGAGAATTGAACCAAGACATTTGGCAGACGCCCGTCGGACCTACAAAAAATGTGCAAAAAGCTAATAACCGAAAAGCTATTCACAGAACAATAATAACTATCATCAAAAGCCATTTTTAATATGACTGGACAAACACAAAAATCAAGCTTGAAAGGAATTGTTAGTAACCTACCTTCCAGCTCATATCATCGTCATCACTATATACATCATCATCATCTCTAGAATGGAAGGTGCATGCATCAACTTCAAAGGTGGTTCGAATTAGAAAACACAGCAGTTTTGCAGCAAACATCGTGTTTGAATATCAAGTAGCTCGCACTGGTTATTTCAACTACTCCTGGGATTATAATAGGTTTATACCACTTGTATTAAAGCTCAACAAATAGGCAGCAATAATTGCCACTTTAGTCAGCGAATAATCATTGAGATGAAAACTCACTCGTCATCATCCTCGTCACCTTCATTGACGTCCATGCCATCTCGATCATCATCATCATCGCTACCATAGTTGTAATTCGGATCGTAGCAAAGGAAATCCAGGCAAAGTTTCGTTATCTAATGAAAAGGTAGCATTAAAACCATTAAAATCGGCTGAAAAATTCGGTGGTGGAATTAATACCTCAAGCTAGAACGAAAACGAGTGATAGGAGTAGCCATTCAATAAATGTTAAATTAGAAGTAAAGGTGCCAACTTTGTCAATGAAATACAAGACAATGACAGTTCAGTGATTGACAACAAGTAAACAAAGGAATCGTTAAAGAAAACAAAGAATAGATACACGGCCATCTAAAAAAAGGAGGGGAAAACTTCTTCACATATTTGTCTTGGTGTTGAAATAACCAATACTTTTAGCAAATAAAAAGGATTATAAACGGGTATCCAGCAATAATTCACGGGCAAATGAGCACTAAAATATCTCATTCATAGTTTTCAAATTTGTTTGAGTCATTTATAAATAACATGAGTAATCCCCTTTTGCAATTTAAATTGAATGTTACAGGTGTTTTTTCTTCTTCAAAAAACGGATAGCTCTTGCTTTGCCCTCATGAGATGAAAATAAAACGAAAAAATGATTGACGATGACCAAATTGCGGGAAAAAAATTCAATATGACTAAACACAATAAAATGCATTACAGAACAAAATAGGATTGCTTAAAAGCAGCTAATCCAGAAAAGCAATGTCTATCTTGTGTCATCTACAGCCAGCATTCAGTATAAGGAAATGCTGAATATATGCAAAATACCTGGACATGAAACCTACCTGTTCTACATACTGAGTAACTTCTTTAGGACATCGACAGACAAAAGATTCAAATGCCTGTGGACGAGATTTATTTTTTGTAAAATGCCCTTTGCAAAATAACTTTATCAAAGCTTACTATCATGTGCAGTTAAAGAAACGAAAAAATACTATTGCGTAAATTTTAAAGAATAGGGTTTTAAGAGCATGTTTACAATTTGTAAACCTGTCCATCGCTGAAACAGATAGCTACCAGCTAACATGAATTTTTTATATCATCTATTCCTCCATTACGTATATATCATGAATATGCTTTCAGGACATGCTTTCAGAAACGTGGTAAAGAAACTGCACCAGGGTGATCTCTACAATTATGCTAGATGTAAATGAACCGCATTACATTAGATGCAAAAAAGATGAATCCAAATGTTCGTCTTTTTCTTTTTTTTAAAATGCCAAAGAACACCAAAGTGTCAAACTGGCCTTTGGCTATCGTTTTCTAATTCAATCTGCGCTGGATGGAAAATCGATTCGTCGCAGGAAAGTTTTCCCTTTTAAGGCTTTCTTTGAGAAGCCTTGAAAATTGCAGCAGTACCATACCCTGGCCCATTTAACAGCTAAACTAATCGTAAAAAAATTGTCGGATAAACTAAAAAGAGCTACCTGAATGCAACATTCCCTAAGCTCATCATCGCTCTCAATCATGGAAAATTGTACTACAATTGGCACTATTTTTTCTAAGTAATCCCCAATGCGGCGACCGGCGTGGCGACTGTAAACAAAAAGAAGCATTATTAACGAAAGAAGCACTACCCGATCTATTTTACAACAAAGTTACAAAGTATACTCTATATGCCTTCACCAGAATCATCATTGAATCAAACTACGATCAATCAATCAACCCTTTCTATAAGGGCACCAGGGTCATACCTTAAAAGGTTTTTTTTCGAAATAAAACGAGATCAAATAGGATCCAGGGCAGGATAAAGTGTTTATTGTCTTCATTTCCCATTCCACATAAACAAAAAAGTTTTTTACTATCAAAAATTGTGACGAAATCTGCACTCATACTTTGCTTTAAGAATATTCTAAGCCAGTACACCTTAAAGATGGAAACATTTTTTCTTGTTTTATTATGCTTTTTTCTGTTTAAATGTAATATTGCTTTGCAGATACAGAGCTAACATAAGACAAATGCATCCAGTTTTGAAGACCCGAACCGTTGAATAGTGATGGCATTGAACACGAAACTTAGAGTAGCAACTTTAAACCATCGTATTCTATATGCAAATATCAGGAAAAGCTCTGCCTTTACTGCAGCCAGTAACTTCAATGTTTTGAAGACCAGAATAGGGCTAAAGCTCTGTGCTTAAGGCCATATAATAAGAATGTTACAAAGACGAGAGAATAGCTCTACTGATTACATACCAAATGGCTGCAATGCACTGAATGAACGTTCGAGCATTCACTGTGTCTCTCTGGCCCTCAAGTTCACCAAGCACGTGTGTTATTAGCTCCACGAAAATGCTCTGGTTGGCAGACATCACCAAATGCCCTGTCAATGATAAACACTGAACACTGAGATGTTATCAAAATCAAATAGATATTTCTGAAATCAAATATGGAAAAGGGATGTTTTGAAAATCAATTTTTGTGTTGCATGACTTAATGAAACTGAAATCAAAAATGTTTCACCCTGTTTTCGACGAAAATAATGTTCCAAAGGTTGATGCCCAACCAGATACCTTTACAACGGTATATTTTGAATGGTCTTAAGACCCCAGTCTGAATTTATAATTAAGACCCCAATACAACAATGAAATCGTTTTCCTCATCTCCACCGGAAGATATTCCTTCCAAACCTACGAACGACCTCATGTTACTACTTAAATTTTTGGAGTTAGAAATTACGATCAAATTTGTTGACGAAGTTCTATATCAAATTTCAGACTCTGTATCTGATGTGTAAAACGACTGCTAATAATCACCAATTGCAATGATGGTTCTCTTGCGCACCGCCATTCTCGGGCTTAGAAGTAATGGCAGGAGACTTTTCAAGACGGATTGGTGAAATGTGACAAGAAGTCCTAAAAAAAACAGAAAATCAGTTAAAAATATATCGAAACCAACTTTGATCATGAAGAAGGTATGCTGCTGGTTTATAAATATTTGGAACTTTGGACATAAAGGCAATATAGAAATATTTATATTGTCTTTGGACATTTAGCGATATTTGGTACTTTAGACAAAGAGATGGAAGCCAGGACTAGGCCATAAGAAAGAGATATTTGCATTGACTAGAAAGTGTTAACCAATTCCCGATCTTATTGGCATGTCCTAATGAGAGAGATCATTTCATACTTTACAGAGTGTTGGTGATAAAAAGCTGTTAGAAGGCACATGAATGCATTGTTGGGTGCCATTTCAAAATTTTTTATACCAGGGCTTTCGCGTTTAGTTCAGAAATTGATGCGAATGACAAAAAATTTTCCTGATCAGTGTAGGGCGCGTGATCCAAAATTATTTGATAACACAAAATAATGAATTTTGTGAATTGAAACGCTTTACTTAAAATTAACAAAATATTTCGTTTCCTAAAAATGTTCAAGTTCTGCCTCAGTGAGGCCAAATGTGCCGAATTCCTCATCACTCTCTGGCTCTGTCGAACTGTCCGTTGATGTAGCTTCAACTTAATTCTAAGCTTGGATACTTTCTTGAATGTTTATATTTATTCTCCCTGTCATTTTCAAATATAAATCCACATCTCTCACGATGATTTTTTTCTTTTCATCTTTATTCCAAAAACGATTATTGCCATAAACTAGAAAATTATTGTTAAGAGTACTGTGCGAGATAGAGAGCTGTTTATCAGAAAGTATGTTGCTTATTTCGAATTTGAGGGAGCAATCGACAAAATGAGGCTTGCCATTTTGCACAGGTTTTGAAATTCATTATGGCAGTACGTTAGAACGGACTTCCATAAATGTTTTGCATTAGAAAATTTAGGAAAGTAGCTTTGCACGAAGTTCTTAAAACTTCCATTCTCACAAAACAAATTCTTCACCGTATGCTGCAAAAGCTAGTGGCTCTTGGAAGTGTAGGGCTAATGTGACGCTAATTTGTCTGACCAAACAAGAGATCCATCAATCTCATTTTGCAGAACATCTCGTCGGTGTAATCTGCAAGTAATCTGCTTTAGTGTCTCTTCAAAAGTTGGGATTAGGCTCCCCAAACACTGAAAGTGGCCGCATGGTGACTTTTACGCAGAGGCCGCATGGTAACTTTTACGCAGTGGTCGCATGGTGACTTTTACGCAGTGGTCGCATGGTGACTTTTACGCAGTGGTCGTACCCTTTTTTTTGTCCCTTGTTTTGAAAAACATCCCTGCAAATTCTCCATCATAGTTCTCTTGGAATCGGTGCATGTAGCTGTTAAGAAACTGTGCATCTGTCCCCATCTCATTCATCTTTTCTTCGAGCTTGTAAACTCAAATGGGATCCGTGCTTCCTTTACATTCCTTTGTACTCTGTAAATGCCCTCTTAGGTGAGATCCATAAGAAAAGCAGGTTTGGATTCGCGTCAGGTGGGATCCGCGTCAGGTGGGATGGAAATTATCCGCAATCAGGTGGGCTAGCTCACTCACTGCGCGTGCGTAAAGGAAGTTGGCGCCAAATCAAATTGACAATGGCTGATCTAAGCAAACTTCTTTTGCAAAAAACGTAGCAAAAGCTTACAAAAACATAGACGATATCATAAAAAAACCATTGAAGTGGACAATTGAGATGGTGGCCAAGCTTTACCATGACGTATGATATGATACCAGGCATACCGGGTGATTTCGCGATCACAAAAGAAATCAAATTAATAGTCGCCATTGTTGTGAAAACTGATGTTCGTCATTATGGCACCAAACTAAAAAAATATCGTTTACAAGTTTCAATAAATGCCAGCCCATATGAGTGAGATCGCGTTATCCTGTGAACACCTGTAAAAACGATCACACCTGCGGAAACCAGCCAGCTGAAGTCGGCTTTGCAAGAGGTACTTCGAAGGGCAACAGCAGATTAGCCACAAAAAGCAATTTCCGCTTCGAAAATAAATTTCTTAAGGGGATTGGCCAATTTCAGCAAAGGATCTCCAAAAATTGTCAGCATCCAGAATCGCTCTCTACAGGAGAAATGTTTATAACTGGACACTGCGATCTCCTGGGAGGGGGAGGGGGGGGGTACTTAGTATATTTTGCTGACAGGATCTGCACGTCTTTCCGGGTATCATTTTCAACAATTTATTCTAAGGCCGGGTATCTATTCAAAGGATATAATCTAAAGCCTATGGTTGCTACATTTTCGTTTATTTTCTATTCAAAAACAACAGCAAAGAGGCTGTCCACCCATTTTTTGTGGTGTTTTGGCAACCATGGCAACTGGCACCTTTGTTCTTTTTTCCAAAAATTATCAAGCCGAGTGTCATTTTTAGCTTTTTTTTCTAAAGCCGATTCACCAAAACAATCTTAGGAGTGCACACCCTCGTCGTTTTGGTATCCAAGTACCCCCCCCAGGCGCCATAAATTGCTCCCAAATGAAACACTGGGCACCTGCATGCCTGCATGCTCCCATGCAACCCCTCCTCCCCCACTGAAAGCCCTTAGATACCCATGTTATTAAGATAACAGTCCCTTCACAAAAGTATTGCACCACCTAGAAGGAGGAGAAATGGCGCAAGAATTATCAAAAGCTATTTCTGTGCAAATTGGTTGTGTCTTTAAAGGGTGCCCGGGAGAGGGTGGAACAAACACCAATCAAAACTTCAAATTTTTAAAGCACCTTTAACAAAAATAGATGTAAGAAACATCTTTAAAGATTTCAACAGTTTCAATTTTTCAATAATTTGACAGGAGGCGCGAACTTTTGAAACTGCTTTCAGCCTTCTTGAATTGGTTGCAGATAATTGGGCAATCTATTATTGTGGAATTTCATACCAAACCTTAAGAATTCTTTCAATCAACAATTCTTTTGTTTTTCAATAACTATTTCAATCATGGTGTTTTATATGAAGATAAACATTTTAAGCGATGTGCAAATGTGGACATTATGGACGCCATGGAAAAACCTGAATTCTTGTTGTCTGGAAATAAATTGTTGTTAAAATGGTTTCCTTTTACCCAGGTAACTTTTTGTTTCGTATTTGTGTAAGACATTTATTCTAATCTTCTGGGAGGATTTTGAGCTGAAAACCCCTGCTAAGCCTTGAGTTTTATGTCCTTTAGTGGCCCTAAGTGTAAACAGCGTGAAGTGAAACAGACAAATTTTGTAGTGACTCGTCTCTCATTTGACATTTTTTCTTCTTTAAGCATGTTCTACATTTCTACAAACGAAAACCACTCTACGTAATTTATACATATCAAGTTTTGTTTTCTATGGCATCAGCAAGATTTCAAAGAAATTCCTGCCAAAATTTGTTACAAAAATGCCTAATTCACCCAATTTATGCATTCAAATGTTTGGTATGGTTGAAAAGTTGACAATAAGTGCTGCCATTTTGAACAAGGTGGTGCAATACTTTTGTGAGGGAAGGTACCTATGGTGTACAACAGGCATCAATAAATGTATGTTAAGTTTTAAATGTAGGGATGAAAAAATAGGTGACAGGAAGTTACCTCCAAATCTACTCAGTAAATCAGCAAGAATATCCAATGCTTCCAGCTGCACAGACTGGTCCTCGATCTGTGAAAGAGCATTGAAATCTGTCACAAAGTGATTATTCAGATAAGCAACAATGACAGCCATAAGTAATAGGTTAACCTAGAAAAATACTAGATCAGACTAGTTTCAAAGCACTAGTCTAGTGGGTTAAAAGGCACATAAAAATTGGTGAATACAACAAAAGGCATACATTTGGGTTGCATGCGCTAGAACACATAGATTAAAGTTTACATAAGTCTCCATCAGAAAAAGTTTCTAGTCTTAAGAAGCACCATATGTGTAAATGCAAGAAACAAATTGGTTTATTGTGTGAACAGCTGGCTGCTAGATCCTGTTAAAGAGTTTTTGCAGATTGAAAAATTACAAACCTTTGAAATAGTTTCAGTTAGTCTTCCAGTAATGCGTTTACAAATGCTTGAAGAGAGACCAGTTGAGGCTGGAGGAAGTTCACTTATCACTGTTTTCAGCCCTGTAAAATTTAAGCAAATCATAAATTGTATGTAGTCAGAATTGCATGTTTTCTAATCTGAGGTAAAAGGTAAATAAGCACCCTTAAAATTAAACCCATACTTGATTGTTTCTGTTTCAAAATATCAGTCAATGAAGAATTGGCTCACACAAAATTTGAGCAAAAACCAGCCCTACCAATTGAATAAGTAGCATTATTTCAAATCAAGCTTTATTGAGAAAAACAACCTGCCATCATGGCACAACAAAACACTGCACAGCCCAATATGTAAACTATACCGTTTTCAGAATAAACATTTTAAAAAAAGAGAAGAAAATGTCTGCTTTATTATAAGGGCTGATATGTAAATGTTCAATCTAATCATTGATCAGTGGCATCTTCTAGCACTTTTTATCCATTATTTCTATTATTTCTTGCAATCTGAGCATTTTACTGATACTAGGCCCTGCTCAGTATCGATGTAGAAGTAGAAGTAGAAGGGAGAATATTTCAAAATCATAACAAATGTAATAAGCAAAAATACCTATGCTAGAAATATCCCTCAACTGTTCCTTATCTGCTGCCATGTTGGCACAGAGCGTGTCTACAATCCCTTCAACTTGATATTCCTTCACTTTGCAAACCAATGGGCCCAAGCTGCAATGTGAAAAGTTAATTGACATTTTGTAGACAATATTAAAGTGTACGAGTTGTGACAGCAGTAAATCATTATAACCACAGTAGCATTATAAATCATTTGGTGTAACCTTAAAATTCATGTTTTTGGCTTACTTGGTTTTTATGTGATCCAAAGATATCAAATTGATGCAATCCTAAGAAACTAATGTATGTGCCAAGACATACAAATTATGGAGATAAGCAGAGCAGAGTTCATCCCTCATAACAGGAACTTTAAATGTGAACAAAGCATTATTCACATCACCTTTCTTTATACTCTCTTCAGGATTGGCAGCATGAGATGATAAAAAGATGTAATAGTCTATAAAATGGGCCAATTAGAGAGAGAGTGTGTGTAAGAGAACGATAGAGTGCTAGCATTTGATTGGTGTAACATGCAATAAATAATCTTCATTTAAGATGGCATGAATTAGCAGAAACAAAGTCATACTAAAACAAAGCACTTTCAATCCACACCTTTCAATCCATTTTCTGCTCAGTTTTGTACAATATCAAGGGTTCTACTCTGAAGGGTATCTGATAAAATGTTCTTAATAGGATGATATGCTTGCACTATTTGGTGCCATCTTCAAAATTTGCAGTACCGAAAACGTACTTGGACATCTATTAAGAACATATAAATGTATAAAAAATAGTTACCATTTCACAGCAAGATTTTGAACTTCACCATTTCTATCCTCAAGGAGTTTCAGTAGCATCTGAACAACCTTGAGAAATAATATGCATTACTTTTTCAAGAAAGTAGCTTGCATAGAAGAGTCATTCACACCAAGTTTAACTAAATGATATTTAGACATAATCAAGGTAGCAGATACATAATCATGTGACATCATTAAAAATTAATTCTTAATAATCAGACTTGCCTTTCTTTCACTGTCATCATCCAATTTGATTGAATCTCTTTGAAGTTCAGTCATCAGATCATTGGTTGCCATAAACCTGAAATCTTTATCACTTGATGTCATCTACAAGAAAAAGTACCTAAACTTAACTTAATAATGAGGCCAGGGACTCATAACTCGTGAAAACATGCAAGCATGCACAGAACAGGCAAACATCAATTATGCAGACAGGTATGCGCACACAAAAATAAGTAGTACTGGTCATTTGAAAATATGTCATAAAAACAAAATGAATTGTGACCATCTTCACTCCCATAATTTGCAAATAATTGTTAAATTTAGATGATTATGACAGCAAAAAGGTTTGTGCGCATTGATGCCAATATGAATTAGTGGTATGTGCTATTCCTCTACCATTAACCCAATTAGCAATGTCAAGTTTTTAAGCATAAAAGTTTAATCCAAATTGTGCTTGTCTCTCTGTCAGAGTCTTCTAGTAGAAGATAGTCAGTAATTGGAAGATGTCAGAAATTTGTTAAAACAACATCACTGTTTACCATATAAAATGGAGAGCAACAATTCAAAGAAAAGAAAACTGAAGTCTGCTTTGATGTGACATGAAAATTAGAACTTTATATTGGTCTAAGGCTATACACAAGATTTAGAAAAAGGCACATAATAATATAGATGTGCTCTAAATTTAATTTCCAATTGTGCTTGTCTCTCTGTCAGAGTCTTCTAGTAGAAGATAATCAGTAATTGGAAGATGTCAGTAATTTGTTAAAACAACACCACTGGTTACCATATAAAATAGAGAGCAACAATTCAAAGAAAAGAAAACTGAAGTCTGCTTTGATGTGACATGAAAATTAGAACTTTCTAACGGTCTAAGGCTATACACAAGATTTAGAAAAGCCACATAATAATCTAGATGTGCTCTAAATTTAATTTCCAATTGTGCTTGTCTCTCTGTCAGAGTTTTCTAGTAGAAGACAGTCAGTAATTGGAAGATGTCAGAAATTTGTTAAAACAACACCACTGGTTACCATATAAAATGGGGAGCAACAATTCAAAGAAAAGAAAACTGAAGTCTGCTTTGATGTGACATGAAAATTAGAACTTTCTAACGGTCTAAGGCTATACACAAGATTTAGAAAAAGGCACATAATAATATAGATGTGCTCTAAATTTAATTTCCAATTGTGCTTGTCTCTCTGTCAGAGTTTTCTAGTAGAAGATAATCAGTAATTGGAAGATGTCAGTAATTTGTTAAAACAACACCACTGGTTACCATATAAAATGGAGAGCAACAATTCAAAGAAAAGAAAACTGAAGTCTGCTTTGATGTGACATGAAAATTAGAACTTTCTAACGGTCTAAGGCTATACACAAGATTTAGAAAAAGGCACATAATAATATAGATGTGCTCTAAATTTAATTTCCAATTGTGCTTGTCTCTCTGTCAGAGTTTTCTAGTAGAAGACAGTCAGTAATTGGAAGATGTCAGAAATTTGTTAAAACAACACCACTGGTTAACATATCAAATGGAGAGCAACAATTCAAAGAAAAGAAAACTGAAGACTGCTTCGATGTGACATGAAAATTAGAACTTTCTAACGGTCTAAGGCTATACACAAGATTTAGAAAAGCCACATAATAAACTAGATATGCTCTAAATTTATAAAAACACGAGAAAAGTCCTTAGTGTTTGTACATGTGCCACATTTTACTAGTCTAATAGTAATAGCGGCCTAGCACTTTGACACCAGGTGAGTTGCACAAAACAAAGCTTTTCAAGACAAAAACGACAATGTTATACAAAGAAAATTTGCATTATACCTTGTCTAGCAGGTTGGCAATGTGGTATGGCGATGTCGTTGCCATTTTGATATTTTTATTATTGATTGACCAGGTATCTTGCTTCAGAACAAGTTGATGTCACAAAGAGAGGACATCAAGGACCTCATTCTCGGCCGGTGTGATTGCGAGACTCATCTAATCGCCGCAAACCGTGCCCCACACCCGTGTCTTTCGCTTCCACTGATTCGCCCCCTTCTTTTTAACTTGCTTCGTTGCTTTTTGGCGCTTTTAAATAATTTCAAATTTTCCGCATCATAACAAAATCGTTAAATTAGAGGAAACTTGGTAATGCTTACAATTAGCTTACAAGAATGTTCTTCGTTTGGAAGTAATACACGGGCAATTTTGTTATTTTTAACTTTGCTTTGCAAATAGAATCTTTATAAATATATTGTTATAAAGGGCCTTCGATAGAAATTGTTTTTCGCAATCTATATATTTCACCAAAAGTACTTAGGGTAATAATGAAAGGTATCTCAGCAGGTCCACATCAACCTTTATGCTGCATATATCTTAAATACAATCATATAAGTTTTTTTCCTTAGAAGTGTATTCCCCTTAGCATTGTATAGTTTTTTGTAAATCAGTAGTTGTACATAAATTATGCAAAATTGTATTTAGGATTGATTGGTAGATGAACGAAACTGAACCGAAACTGCCACTGTAGTCAACCTGCTTTAACATCTATGTATGATATATGTGCGTGTGTATGCATGTGTATGCATATATGTAGGTTGCTCTCTTGAAAATTGGACATTATACGGGAAAATGCATCTCATGGCAATATAAAGTCTCCGAGACAAGAAAACCAGACATCATCCTTTTGCTGTTGATGTATATATGTAAATAACACAACAAGTATCACATTATAACAGTTGCAAAGCAAACAGTCTCAGTCAGTCTCTGCAGTCCCTCCTTCTGCCTTCCTCCTCCTCTTCCAACAACAACAACCCAAAAATGGCGGACACAACACCACTTCCCCTTTTTTAGTAACGGACGTAGTCTTTGAACCTAGCAGGTAAACGAGTTTCCCTCCGAGGTCTTGTAGCCCTGTCCTCATTTGGATGTTGCGCAGTAACGCCAGCTGGGGCAATTACTGGCTCTTCTGTCATGTCTGGAACCGGATCTTGGTTGTTCGCGTTTTCTGTTTGATGGGCTTGGTTCTCTATCCAAATAGTATGGTCCTCGATTTTTCCTTGGCTAACTGCGGGCTTTACATCATCACAGTGCCTTCTGAAACTTTTATTATCAGCCAAACTTTCTAGTAACAGGCCGCTACCTTCTGTGCACAGGACTTTATACAGCTCTGGCCCAAAGATGGGATCAAACTTGCACCGCTGCATGTTCCGTATGTACACAAGATCCCCTGGAGTGTAGATGGACTTCTTTCTATGGGTCGACCTGTTCATTTGGTCCTCTCGAGACATATATTGTGCTCTGTCTTGCATCTGAGCCTCGCGTATCTGTTGCTCAGTCAGTTGCCGTCGCGGAAAATCTTTTCGATACCCACTACGAAGCAAGAGATCTCCCGGTGGTACTCCCGTTGCAGGATGAGGCGTCGCCCGATATGTTGCTAGGACTTCCTTAATAGCTGTATGTTTATCCTTTTTATTGAAATGGGCCGCCTTTAACGCTTTTCCGAGAGGACGCATAAATGTTTCTGCAGGGTTTGCTTGTGG